TGACCATGTCCATATCAGTGATTGAACACTGCCGACTGCCAGGACTGCTGCACTAGTTCAAGGTTGACGTGGGGGTCATCAGCGCTGACTCCATGCGACGCCGTCTACACGCTACATGGCTCCATGCTAGACGTCCTTACGTTGGACCAGTTCTGACTGACAGACACCGTAATGAGCGTATACAATGGGCTAGCAGGCATTTTCATTAAAGGTTACAACAATGGCATGGTGTGGTAGTCACTGACGAGTCACGTCTTCATCTACGTAATGCTGACGGCCGATTACGTGTTTGGCGTAGACGTGGTGAACGTTATGCTGATGAGTGTGTGGTTCAGACAGACCTTTGGGTGGTGGGAGTGTCATGGTCTGGGGTGGAATAAATTACAATCACAGGACTGCCTTCATGTCTGTCAAGGGAGAGTTAATGCCCTTTATTACCGTGAGCAGATTCTTCAGAATCACATCGTATCTGTCTTCAATCACCACCAAGATGTCCATACTTTTCAACAGGACAACGGGCACACACAACAAGACTTTCCATGCAGTATCTGGCCCTGCAACACATCCAGGTTATTCATTGGCTAGCACAGTCGCCAGTATGTATCCCCCATGGAGCACTTGTGGGACTAAATTGGTCAAAGTCTTTCGCGGCGACAACAGATGCGAAACATCCGGGAACTTGAGGCTGCACTACTGCAGAAGCGGAATGCCATCCTCAAGAACTCTATTCGGAAGCTTATTGACTCAATGGGGAGACGTTGAACTGCATGTGTCAATGCAAATGGCGGTCACACGCGATATTGACTTTTCGATTTGACCCCACGTGTGTTTGATCCTTTCTGACTGTGGAACATTTCAATGAATGAGCGTCTTTTCTGTGTTGTTGTTTTTGTCAGTCGTCCATCTGTAATTATCCACTCACAAAATATCAATTCCTTATACGTGCTTTTAATAATCTGAACTTTTATAAGTGGTGCGTTTTCAATGATGTTCAGTATATATCTTGAGTATTGCCAGTGATATTCCCACAACGATCACAACCTAAGATCTTAACCTACAAGCGGATCCTGTCACACTTGTGAACTCTTTACAACGAATTGTTTTAATTTACTACTTACTTTCCTTATGCTTGACAAATGTTGGACATTAACCAAATATATTTCAGTACTAGCCATGCTAATTCTCTCTGTGATCATTGTAAAGCCTGCCAATGGCATATCGATAAGAACACTTAGAAGCCTTTTCGCCGTGCGGTTGCTTCGTGTCGAAATACTAACCTATCTAGGTGAACTCTGCCATTCTTAAATAATGATCTATATTTTTAATTCTTTGTTAAGCTCTATTAATACAAGCTTGTTGAAAGAGTAGTATGTGTGTGTTTAATTCAGTAAAAACTATTGAGAGAGTGTGTTGCCGACGAGTTATATTTTTGTGAGGGGCTAAGTCAAATATGCGAGTTTACAAAGAAGGGGTTTGTCTCACACGACAACATTTATGGGACGCTTCAGTCACTTCAAAAGTTGAAAAGATTCTATTTTCCCCGACCCAAGGTCACCCGTCAGAAGCAAATGTCCCATGACCACTTCCAGGAACAATTCACATTTAAACAAATGGCGGTGGGGTAGCCTAGTGGTAAAAGCGTGTGTGTGTGTGTGTGTGTGTGTGCGTGCGTGCGTGTTTGGGGGAAAGGTTAAGATACAGCCAGGTGCCTTCTATCTGTAGGCGACAGGTATAGCAACATAACTGACATGATTAGCAACATCACTGCTACACCCTGTGATCAGCAACATCACTGCTACACCCTGTTATCAGCAACATCACAGCTACACCCTGTAATCAGCAACATCACTGCTACACCCTGTTATCAGCAAACTCACGGCTACACCCTGTTATCAGCACTCACAGCTACACCCTGTTATCAGCAACATCACAGATACACCCTGTTATCAGCAAACTCACAGCTACACCCTGTAATCATCAACATCACTGCTACACCCTGTGATAATCAACATCACTGCTACACCCTGTGATCAGCAACATCACAGATACACCCTGTTATCAGCAAACTCACAGCTACACCCTGTAATCATCAACATCACTGCTACACCCTGTGATCATCAACATCACTGCTACACCCTGTTATCAGCAACATCACAGATACACCCTGTTATCAGCAAACTCACAGCTACACCCTGTTATCAGCAAACTCACAGCTACACCCTGTTATCAGCAAACTCACAGCTACACCCTGTTATCAGCAAACTCACAGCTACACCCTGTTATCAGCAACATCACAGCTACACCCTGTTATCAGCAACATCACAGCTACACCCTGTTATCAGCAAACTCACAGCTACACCCTGTAATCATCAACATCACTGCTACACCCTGTTATCATCAACATCACTGCTACACCCTGTTATCAGCAAACTCACAGCTACACCCTGTTATCAGCAACATCACAGCTACACCCTGTTATCAGCAAACTCACAGCTACACCCTGTTATCAGCAAAATCACACCTACACCCTGTTATCAGCAACATCACAGCTACACTGTCATCAGCAACATCACTGCTAGACCCTGTTATCGGCAAACTCACAGCTACACCCTGTGATCAGCAACATCACTGCTACACCCTGTTATCCGCAACAGCTAAGGACTTTGGTCCGCAACATCACAGCTACACCCTGTGTTCATCAACATCACAGCTACACCCTGTGATCAGCAACATCAAAGCTAAGGACTTTGGTCCGCAGCATCACAGCTACACCTTGTGTTGCGCAACATCCTAGCTAAGCCGTCTTTTAGGCAACATCACAGATACACCCTGTGATCAGCAACATCACAGCTACACTGTCATCAACAACATCACAGATACACCCTGTTATCGGCAACATCACAGCTACACTCTGTTATCGGCAAACTCACAGCTACAGCATGTGATCAACAACATCCCAGATACATCATGTGATAACAGATATTACAACTAAACCCTGTGATCACCAATATTACAACTAAACCCTGTGATCACCAATATTACAACTAAACCCTGTGATCACCAATATTACAACTAAACCCTGTGATCACCAATATTACAACTAAACCCTGTGATCACCAATATTACAACTAAACCCTGTGATCACCAATATTACAACTAAACCCTGTGATCACCAATATTACAACTAAACCCTGTGATCACCAATATTACAACTAAACCCTGTGATCACCAATATTACAACTAAACCCTGTGATCACCAATATTACAACTAAATCCTGTGATCATCAAGATTAAAACTAAACCCTGTGATCACCAATATTACAATTAAACCCTGTGATCACCAATATTACAACTAAACCCTGTGATCATCAAGATTAAAACTAAACCCTGTGAACACCAATATTACAATTAAACCCTGTGATCACCAATATTACAACTAAACCCTGTGATCACCAATATACAACTAAACCCTGTGATCACCAATATTACAACTAAACCCTGTGACCAATACTACCTAAACCCTGTGATTAAAACTAAACCCTGTGATCACCAATATTAAAACTAAACCCTGTGGTCACCAATATTAAAACTAAAACCCTGTGATCACCAATATTACAACTAAACCCTGTGATAACCAATATTACAACTAAACCCTGTGATAACCAATATTAAAACTAAACCCTGTGATAACCAATACTACAACTAAACCCTGTGATCACCAATATTACAACTAAACCCTGTGATCACCAATATTACAACTAAACCCTGTGATAACCAATACTACAACTAAACCCTGTGATAACCAATATTACAACTAAACCCTGTGATAACCAATACTACAACTAAACCCTGTGATCACCAATATTACAACTAAACACTACGCTCTTCAGTATCACACATAAACCCTGTTATCACCAATATCCAAACTCTATATCTGATCAGCTACATTCCATACAAACATCACTGTAAAAAATTTCTCCCTGCCCTGTGCCTTGAAAGTGCAGAAGGTGACACAAACAAATGACATAGTGAGGGCACTTCCCAGATCCGTTTGCCTGTACAAGTCTTCAAGCACTAGCTGAGAGTGAGGCAAACCCTGTCTCACAGGCAAAGGGAGGTAATCCCACAATGCCAGAACAACAACGGCATTGGTGTAGGAAATCCATCACTATGATTGTCTCAGGTGAAGAAACAACAAAAACCTCATCACAAATTCATTAAGTGTATTTAATGAAGAAATGTGTTCAGTATTTACCTTAATGGCTCATAACAAGTTTACTTTTTCTCAAAAGTATACATTATACACAACATTGTAACTGTAATTGGTAGGAAACTCTCAACAACCTCAGTGGGAATATATTTCTCCCTGAATACAGTAACAAGAGAAACATCTTAAGTCACAAGATGTACCAACAAACATTATTCTTATATTTTGCGTATTTCAATACATTATACTGTATAATATTAATAGTACTGGTCATCGCTTCAGTTGTCTGACCCTTGGTGAATTCATTCGCAATAAACCCACACATATCCACATGGGAAAACCAATTAAAATAAAACCTTGTGGATTGCCCTACAGATATGCATCACCTAATAGTAGTCCTTGACAATTATCTACCCTTGTACTTCAGTTTCTATGGATACTAATATACAGTATCAATCTGCAACTTCATAAACAATCAAAAGTAAAAGAAATGACATCTATTTCATTGTGTAACATAGCCAGAGACAACCATCTGGTACAAAAAAAGGATTCCTATTTATTCTATGCAGTATTGTTTTAGGTTCTTTAACATGCTTGTGCCAAAATACATGCACTGTTTTTCAATAACTTGTTAAATAGTTAAAGTTAAATATAAAACACAGTTTTACGAGAGAGAATTTTTCTGTACCCAAACTTACTGAGGTACAGCACATACCTTTACCTCAACTTAATCGTCACGATATGGCTGAAATATTGCCGATGTGACGTTAAATATTAACTCACTCACTCACTCAACTTAAAAAAAAGGAAAAATTGATATTCTGATGAAACAGTTTTTTTTTCTAACTTCTTTCCCTTAACATGATGAAATAATTCAACAGGCATCACAGGCACATAATGAGTGAATCTAGATGGCCAATGTTAATTTCACATGCATCTGAATACATGTATTATAGTCTTTACATGTTTGACACATGTATTTTTAATTCACTGAATGGTATCTGTCATTCTGTATCATTTACGTTTCTTTGCAATCATGGGAACCTCTTTTGGTTTATCTGATTTCTTTTTCTTTTTCCTCTTTCTATCCACTTTATCTTCTTTTACAACAATTTCTTTCTCCTTCTTTTTCACAGTCTTGGTTTTCACCAGTTCCAGATTTTCCCAAACATCCTCATCTTCCGATTCAATCCCTGACTCTACGTCAGCTTCTTTTTGAACCTCACTCTTATTTACCGTTGCATTTTCTCCTTCTCTTGATGAAAAGAGGAGACAGTTTAGCCTTGACTTTAAATACAATTTATTCACCATTTCCCTGGAATCAATGTCATGTATACGTATATGCCTATCCAAGCCACAAGAAGCAACAAGGGGTTTTGAGGGATGACATTTGATATCTCGTATACCTCCAGCAAACCCTTTATAGACTTGCATGACTTTGCCATTCCTCAGATCCACCAATGCCATCTTTCCCTGTGTGTTACCAACAAGAACTTGATTGTCTTGATCATACCGCAGTGATATTGCTGTGAGAGGATATTCATCTACTTCAATGTCAAGGACAGGTCTTCGTTGTGAACTCTGTGGGTCATACACTCTGACCTGATGATGACCTGTTGAGGTCACAACTTTGTCGCTTCCTGGAAGGAACTGAACACCCATTACCCAAACTGGAACTCTCAGGTTTAACCAATCATTTTTCACATTCTTTGCTTTGAATATTGGTTCGGAATGTCTCTGAAGATCCCACAATTTAAGTTCGTTTTCCTTCCCCCCTGTTCCGATGATGTGGGACTTTTGTGGATTTTGCTCCATGCAAAATAAATCTTTCCCTGCTTCAATTTCGATGGAGTTTTTGTCTTCATCATCATCCCAGAGTTTGACTAAACCCGACTCTACGGCTGTCAAATATTTGCCTTCAACTTTCGCTAGAGCACGGAACTTCCCACTGCCTCCGTCAAACGTGTGAATTTCGTCCTCAACAGATTGTGCATCAACGTCATAAACAAGCACCTGTCTGTTTTTCAAACCAAAACATACTTTCGATTCATCTGTGTTATCCCAACACATGGCACATATTTCTTTCTCTCTGTCTGCACTAGCAATAGCATTCAAATTATTCCACTGTGACTTTTTCAAGGTAATGCCTTTCAATAAACCAGTTTCAGCTCCCACAAACACGTTGTACATGGGCGCCGCCATTTTATGTCGTCGGGTTATTCCGGAAGTTGATAACAGCAAAGGTGATATAAAACACACACATGGATACTGAAACGAAGTAAATACATATTTATGCGAATCGCATCCTGCAGTAAAATAGTTAAAGGCATTGTTAACAAAATTATGCTAAATACATATTTTAAACTGAAACACAACTATACCAATGTATGAAGATAAAAAAACTTTCGAATTAGTTGTGCACCAAAATGTAATGATTTATGATAGTTGCTTTTGTGTTTTCACTGTATAGTAGATTAGTAGCAGTAGTAGGAAAAGTTGAAATAGCATTACGCAAAATTAATACTAGCATTAAAAGTTTAGAAGTGTTAACACAAAATATCACTGAAAGTAGTCGAGGCCAGAATAGTAGTAGTTGTAGTATATGAAGGCAGTTTTCGATCTCCTCGTTTTTATGAACTTAGACTGATAGTACTAAAACACTAGACACTTTGGTCTTTGCCAAAGGCCAAGAAGCGAGACGCATAAACGGCCATTTAACTTGTGGAGCGGGTTAATTTGGGGGTGCATTGGGGATGGGGGCTAAGGAATGGCCTTAGGACCATGTCGTATGGCTGAAACCTATGCTCCCTCCATGTCAGAGTGAAGCATAAACCTATTTCGTGAAAGAGTCGGCAATTTCGATTCAACCTGATTTTTATCCAATCAACGTGTCGAAAAACTTCACTGCAGACATACCAGCCGGAAAGCGGGAACACAAACTTGGCTCAACTTCGGGATTTACTTAGTTTTTCAAATCACGCTATGATCAAAATTGACCATGATAACAGATTGATATCTACCCATTTGTTTAACCATGCTTTGGTGGTTACAGCAATGGTTTCATTCGAAAAACTTCGTGAACAGCTGATTGTATTCTAAAACGACTTATGCAAAATATTCAAGGGAAATCAAGACTTTTAACTTTGACGGCCAAGTACAAAATTAAACTTTATATAACATCGTAATTTCAGTAGAAAATCTGATTAACAAAATGGATTTTATACTGACCAGAAACTGGATACCTTATGCTGTGATGGATGCTGTGAAGATTAGAAGTGTTACTAGCCTTGTGGAAGGATAAACTGCATCTGGAAGTTTGTGAAATGTAATGAATGGGATGTTTCACGAGTAAACAACGAAACGAATGTGCACTTGAAGAATGAAGCAAAAGGATGGTGACAAGCATAAACGTAATTATCATGATATTGGTTTTCAGTTTACTGTATCCATGACAACTAGATCAAAGTGACCCAAACTTTGTTTTGTTTTGACAATATCCTACCCATGTGTTATGTGAATTAAACACCAAAATGATTCTTTACATTAACGGGGATACCTTTTGGTAAGATTTCCGATCGTTTCAGACACTTGATTATTAAAATTGTGTTATTTTTATTCATGAAAAACATTTATTATGTATATAAAAGCGGAAAGACTTCCGCCCGTATTACCCCTTAAATTTCATTCTAGATAGTCAAATCATATCACCTGAATAATATTCGTCATCTGATAAGGATGAGTTTTAACATGTTTCATTAATTATATCTACATACTGATAGAGGAAAGACCTCCGCCCGTATCCCCCCATTATTTTTTGATTCTAGTCAAATCATATTACCTGAATATATATTTCACATCTCATAAGGATGAGTTTTAACATGTTTCGTTAATTGTATCTGAACATACTAAAAGACATATTCTACTTCTAAAATGCCTCTCAAAGAAGGTTTTCTCACTCAAGAAATTTCTCCTCGTGGTTAAAATTTAGGAGGGATACAGGCGGAAGTCTTACCAAAATATTATGTCAGGAACGATCACGATTCTTTCCTACATTTTTTACTTTATTGTTTATAAAGCAAAGAACAATTCAAGGCTTCTTTTCTTTCCTTAGGCAATTAGTGTTTCTTTTAGCTGGATTAGGGAATGTACAATATTTTTGTGTCGTGCTATTTGATTCCATGGACCCATTTTATCCTTAATGCCAATTTTCCATTGCCGCTGTGGTTACTGTGATTAAATATCTCATCTTATTTTTTCTTTCCACAGCTAGTACAAGTTATAGTTCCAACAAAGGGAAGCGGAAACTGGACTTTGATAAGAAGACAAAAAAATTGCCTCTGGCAGGGAAAATAGTGTATCTTGATGTAAAAGATGTTCGCCAAGCCAGGAGTCTTGAAGAGAAACTAAAACAGCTTGGAGGGGTAAACAAATTAACATAACAGTTTTGATAAACACTTTGTCAAGAAGCTGGAAGCCAAGGTTTAGTTTGATTGCTTGTTTTTTTGTTTAACACTACCCTCAGATATCTCTATGACAGTTGCCAGGTCATAAAGTCTACACCGGAACAGGGTTTTATGTGTACTTTTTAAAATGGGTGTCATGGTGACACAGTAAAAATATTTTCAAAAGTTTTGAGGGATATTTTCAAAATTAGTTTGAAATAAGGCAAGGGCTATGAAAGCATATGTTGCCATATCCTCTTTTGTAAGAGTTCTGTTGCAGTGTATGGTTGCATGTTTATTGTAGTTAACTGGGTTCAAGGTACACTTATTTGAAAAAATGTTGGATCAGCTATGACATAATGTTTTAGGAGTATTTTACAAACCTCTCTTGTCAAATATTCATGAATTATGAATCATGTAAATTAGTGTTGGGAATTGGTCAAAATCTCATAATTGATGATTGGTTCATTACTACCGATCAATCATCAAAAATAATTGGTTAGCGTTATTTATGAAGTTTGTTAATGCACATAAAAATAAGGGAAAAATGTTGTTCTTTTGGGGTTTTTGGCAAAACTTCACATCTTTAGGAACATAAATTTCTTGGAATCTTTAAGATAAATTCAATCATGACTTGAAATGAGCTTGTAGTGCTTATGAAATGTAACAGACAAAACCAACCATGTGAAAAATATTGTTAATGAAAACAAGTGTTCCAGAATTGTTTGTGTTCGATTATTAGAAATTATGATCAATTGCTTGGTCGTTTAATCACTACAACCAATCTTCGATTATTTCAATTAATTGGACCACCACTAAAGTAAATCTCTGGCAGATATACCAGTGGTTGATTATATGAACAACCAAGTGAAGAAACTCACTACCTCATCCTTTCAGCACCCATGAAGATCCGGGTTAGAATTGATCTTTAGTAACTCATGCTTGTCGTTAGAGGCAATTAGTGGGATCAGGTGGTCGGGCTTGTTGACTTGGTTGACACATGTCATCACATCCCAGTTGCGTAGATCAATGCTCATGCTGTTGATCACTGGATTATCTGGTCCAGAATCGACTATTTACAGACCACCGCCATATAACTGGAATACTGCTTAGTGCAGCATAAAACTAAACTCGCTCACTCTCCTTACAGTTACGATAATCACAAATGTATTTACATCATCATGATAGTTGGGCTTAGTCAGAGCTTCTGATCAGATATTTTTCTGGCACATTGAACATGTTGAAAACTGATGAAAATTTCTCATCAACAGCATCTAAAGAAGTAAAGCTATTTCTCTGTGTTCATCCTTTCCAGACCATTGAGAAGTTTCTCATCAAGGATGTGAACTATGTGATATCCAGCAATGCTCCAGCCAGTGGCAGTGGTCAGAAGAAAGGGGAGAAGGGTCAAGACCGACCGGACAGCCCCGCCTTCCAATCTACACCCAGTCCCTTCAGCATGGGGCAGTCTCCATCACCTACTGCAGTCGAAGCTAAAAAGGAAACTGTAAGGCCAATTCCCATTAACTGTTCTGTACATAGTCTTTGCCCCAAACAAACCTCCAGATAAACAATTATTTGTTTATTAGCATTAAATAGACACATTAAATCACCATGGTCTTATTTCAGCATATAAATATGCCAGAATAAATTTGATAACTTGATACACTGCAGAAATATGCTATTTCATCCATTTACAAACATTTGCATATAATTCTAAACTAACTGCCTTGTACTCTTAAGTTTATATTTTAACATTGTATTATAACTTTACATTTAGCATTTGTAATGCATGAATATAAAATTAGGCAATTTCCTTTTAAGATTAAGGTTCTTCGTCCTGACAGGTGCTGTTTCCTCAACTAACCATTATAAGTTAGAACTTTAGAACTGGAATTGAGAATTTACACTGACATTTTCTGTAGATTACTGTGATTGAAGTAGCGAATGTAAAAATCAAGTTGTTTGAGTCCTTGTATGGTGCACATTTGACCAACCAACAACTTACGTGTTATGTTTGTGTCCATAGTTCCTTAAAATTGTTGATTGAGCCTGGAAAAGCCCTAAATGCCTTAAATTAGAAGGCTGATAATATGTACGAACCTTAGATTTGTTTCTTTATTTATCAGCTGATGCAGTATTTGTTTGAGGAGTGATGGTATATTTTTTTTTATTTGCAGGTGACAAGGGGCAAGGCCATTCTTCAGATAGCAAAGAACAAAAGCTCAGTAAGTTGGTTGTTATTAATATTTTCCAAATATTTGCCATCGCTGTGAAAAAACTGCAAACAATAAGGATCAAATTACAAAGTGGTTAAAATGGCCAGTTTGGTTTTTTACATAGTGAAGAATTTTTCATCATGATCATTAGGTCCATCAACAGTTAGTGCTGGAGCGATTGCTCAAATATTTGGTAAATTGATCAATCTCGCTTGCATCAGGGATTATCGATGAACTCTTGAGGCTAATCAATTTTTAAAAAAAATTAAATATCAGAATTTTAAAATTTTGAAAGTAGGTGTTTTATTGTAATGTTTGTTAAATCAAAATGTAAACAACTGATGCAGTTTCCTGACTCGCAAAACAGCAATATAAAGAAAATATTTGCATGACTATGGCATGATCGGAGCCTGTTTTCATTTGCACAATGTTATGATTGTGTCCCGTTATTGCCCACATGAGTTAAATGGTGAGATTTACGGTTACAATTGATTGTTGATCGATATCTGGTGTCCCCCACCGTGATATTGCTGGAATGTTGCTAAAAGCGACGTAAAACCAAACTCACTCACTCTTTCATGCAATGTCAGGGGCGGTGGGGTAGCCTAATGGTTAAAGCATTGGCTCGTCACGCCATAGACCCGGGTTCAAATCCCCACATGGGTACAATGTGTGAAGCCCATTTCTGGTGTCCCCCGCCGTGATGTTGCTGGAATATTGCTAAAAGCGTCGTAAAACCAAACTCAGTCAGTCATGCAATGTCAATTCTTATTTGCAGCGACTGAATAATCCATCATATGTTAACTAACAGAATGCGCGCAATGTACGTGTTGGTGGACACACATTTGTGCACAGATGCGCAGAGATGAATATCCGATGTGGGCAAATTGGCAGTGTACAATGTGTGAAGCTCATTTCTGGTATCCCCCACTGTGATATTTCTGTAATATTGCTGAAAGAGGCGTAAAACTAAACTCATTAGAATGTAAAATCACATACCCATCACATCCTACTGGGTACCCATCCACTGCTGTGTAAACAATTGCATATTTTGAACAAAGTTGATGTCTTCCCATAAGATGTGTGATTAAGTTTCCATCTCTTACAGCAAACAAGTGTTATAGACACAGCAAAGAAAATGGGCATAAAAATCGTGTCCCTAAATGGTACGTAGCAAGACTAAATTTGCAGTGTGATTTATCCATTCGCAACTATTCCTTGTGTTGTTGACCTGCAGAGGATAATTTGCTGATATTGCTGGAATATTGCTAAAAGCAGCGTAAAACTATACTGGCTCACTCTATTCAAAGATTTTTCTAACCAAGGAAAATCTCTTTTATGGACACTCCAATGCAGTTGCTAATCAGCAATTAACATGCCTCACTCACTGTAACTAGAAGGAATGGTGTAACAGGGGTGGAAATAACCCATTGCCCGACGTCAGAGTGCAGTGTCTTTTTCTGTCGGGCAAGCAAATTCGTATATCACACTGTACCGGTTTCCAGTTGACTTTCCAATGTTAATTATGTTTTTTTTTTTAAAATCAGCAAGGAAACGGTCGGTATAGTGGAAAAATTATCAGGGCAAGTGACTTTACATGTGCCACTGTACCGGAGTACACTATCAATTTAAATGTTATTTCCACCCCTGTGTAAATCCAGCTAGGGTCCAAACAGGTAGCAAGCGTACTGTAAGTCCCCATGGTCCCTAGTATGGTGATCTACCTTCAGTTGTTGGCGACCTATAGCCCTGTGTTGTAATGTATCGTGATTAGAAATATCGTTTTATGGTTAAGTGCTAGCTTTATGTTTAAAGCTATGATGTTCTAGTTATGTGTCCTTTGTTGACATTTTTACTACAAAGTTTTAATAGTCACGATATGGCTGAAATACAGCCGATGTGACTTTTAAGTTTAACTCGCTCACTCTTGAGTTCGTTGCATTTAGAATGAGCATCTATATCTCTAGCAATCTGTGGGGCGGTGGGGTAGCCTAGTAGTTAAAGCGTTGGCTCGTCACGCCGAAGACCCAGGTTCGAATCCCCACATGGGTACAATGTGTGAAGCCAATTTCTGGTGTCCCCCGCCGTGATGTTGCTGGAATATTGCTAAAAGCAGAACCGGCGTAAAACCAAACTCAGTCAGTCAGTCTAGCAATCTGTGCCCAAACTGTTTGAGGCTACTTTCCCCAACATGTCTGTGAGCAGTATTATCTGTAGATTTAAGTGATTATATGTTGACATTAATAGCTGAGCCTATAAGACTTAACAACATTTTACTCAGACTTCGGACAAGTTGCCAAAGTTACAAACCGTTATGGCAATACTGTACGTCATAACAATTTAGTACAATAAATGCTCATTATGATCCTTTAAGTTAATTAATTTTTCACTTGAAATCTCTCAATTTGAAGAAATTCATAAAGGAAAGTCATACATTGCAATCATTATGACTACTGTACGTCATAACAATCTAGTACAATAAATGCTCATTATGATCCTTAAAATTAATTAAGTTTTCACTTGAAAAATCTCTCAATTTGAAGAAATTCATAAAGAAAAATCATACATTGCAATCATTATGACTGGTGCTCGTCTCACTCAGAAAGATTGATTGTGTCATTTTCCTTTCAGGAAGCGATAACTTGGTTAGATAAAGAGATCCGCAAGATTAAACCAGCGGTGGTTGCAGAATCCAATAAACAGGTAGGCATGGTTTTATCATTTGTTATTTAACATGGTTAATGCCACCATCGGGGCGGTGGGGTAGCATAGTGGTCAAAACATCCACTCGTCACACTGAAGACCCGGGTTCGATTCCCCACATGGGTACAATGTGTGAAGCTCATTTCTGGTGTCCCCTGTCGTGCTGTTGCTGGATTATTGCTAAAACCGGCGTAAAACTAAACTCACTCACTCACTAATGCCACTATCTCCACTATTTCTGCAATGTAACATTGGTCTGTGAATAATTAGATCTGGACAATACAATCTAGTGTCCAGCATCTTGAGCGTAGACAGTAGGGGTGACACCTATTGCGACAGCAATAGTCTATTGGAACATACTATTACGATAGCGATAGTCTATCGCTACCAATAGTTTTTTCCTCTTTGAATTGTCTCATCTGAAGTCATTTCCCAAATGAATGTATAATTTATATGAAATAAAACAAGTAGTTTCAGTGTCTTTTAACAACTGACAAGAAACTTGAAACTCAGATCAGGTCAACAGTTAAAACATAAACTTATTGTTATTCACAATTTCAAACTCCGAGTTGCATGCCATGATTGCCGCCATGTTTAAGAGATACCAGGGGCGGATAACTCTAAATCAAAGTGAATAAATCTGGTACTTAATGTATTTTGCCCTGCATATTTATCAACAGAAGTCAATTACTAAACTATAGATAGTCACACATACTGCATCGATAGTTTTTCATTTCTACCATCGATTAATTGCTATCAGAGACTCAACAATTGCAGTCCCATCGATAGTTTGATGCATTGTTACAGCACTACTAGACATTGGATTACATCCATCAACCAAGCAGCTATGTCAGAACACTTGATGCAGTTAGTCACCTCTTAAAGCAAGCATAGCTTACCAGGGTTCCAGATAATTTTTCAACATCAGGAGTACGTACTCCTTATTTTTGCAGTATAGGAGTACTGGAAAACCTTAAGAGTACATTTTGAGTACTGAATGGAATTTAATGCGGTATCAGTAATCTTGTGTTTCGTTTCATATATGCACCACAACATTGCTACTCTTGTGTAAATGGAGCAATAAACAATAAAATAATATGTTTTCAGATAAATACATCTGTAAATGATTCTGAGACCTTACACCACTGGTGTGGTGCGTATCCGCTACGTTTTCTAAATTATTTCCCACCGTATCATGCATATTTTTTTGCCGTACATACGCCGATACAGCCCTTATCTGGAGCCCTGGTTTACAGGGGTCTATATTTTAACCCAGTTGCCTCATAAAATATTGTTTCATAGATATACTTACAAGTTGAGAATGGACACAGATAATTTCAGTTTTTCGACCGTAAAGAAGTATATAATATATGTTATATTTTTCTTTGTTTATAAAAGTTGTAGATAAGATGATGGCACATTTCATGGAACTAACAATTTATGTGTGTTTGAAACAATACTACAAGGTAAACATTATCAATTAATGGCACAGGTCCCTGGGGCATTGCAATGATATGTTATAATTCTTAGGACACAAATGTTGCTTGTCGCTAGATATAGATCTAATTATTACTTTATTGTGATAGTGTGTGAAGTTTTGTTTCACTGTATTCTGGTACAATCATCCCTCGCAATAACTCTCTGCAGATTCGGCTGAACCATGGGTTTATCCGTGGCTTCTGTAAATAGAGCAATCACACATCTTCACGTCATCAAGAATATCACCAAATCCGCTTTTTTTCTCATGTTTATCGTGTTGTAAACCAGCAAAATTCAATCCGGATCACAATAACAAAATGTTTCAGGGATTTACCTTGAGTCCTGTATTTGAGGGTCCCTGTTTATAATTTTCAGGGGTCCTGGACAACAAAATGGGGGGTCCCAGACACTTAAATACTATACTGTTAATACTGTTATTGTATTGTGTATCATGATCATCACATTAATTGTTACAGTAATTAAATTGCAAATGATACCATAACCCAGCTAGTAGCAAACTCAGTTATAACTTATTGTTACTTGATTGGAATTTTTACAAAAGTATTTGGACTTTTCTGCTTCCCTGTGGATGCGTTAATAAATTTCTTTGCATCCATTGTCAATTTTTATGTGTATAGGACGCAGGAATTTGCGTCCTGTAAATCACTGATGTTTTCATTGTACATAGCTCTGACGATACGACATTGTTTTGAGTGGGCACAATACACAAAATAGCAGTTATGCTATACACATGGAAACTATGACTTTACTTGGTCGTTATGCCATGATATGTATAATGAGGGTGTCTCATAACGTGGGGTGTCATCCATGGACCCCAAGACTCACGTTATGGTGAGGGATGACTGCATTTCTGTTATTTGCTATGTGTGAATTTACATGACAATTCTTGTTTTGTGTTTCACAGGAAACAAGAAGGAGGGGCACTAAATGTGAGTTGATTCAGCATATGTGTCTTGTATTCTGTGTGGCCTGGCGCAGCAGGCCCAGTTGTGTTTGTCCCTTCCATTTCTAGTGTAGAGTTGCTCCCCTTACCGTGTCCCAGAGGCCCAGATAAGCTGCGTATCCGGGTAAAATACGCTTATAAAATTTCCAATTACGCATTGAAAAATAATTGTTGCGTAGCAGTACCAATTACGCATTTAAAATGTTTGATACACAAAAAGTTTAAAACAAATGCGTACAGAATATATTTATAAAAATCGCTTGCGTAATGAAAAAGACATCGATTGCTATCAAGTTGTACTGTTAGTATAGGACAAGTGCTGTACTGTCCATTTAGGATGAGGGATGTTTTATGAACTCATTTCCATTAGGCTAGCTGACTTGGTTGACACATGTCATCGGTTCCCAAATATGTAGTTCGATGCTCATGATGTTGATCACTGGATTGTCTGGTCCAGACTCGATTATTTACAGACCGCCGCCATATAGCTGGAATATTGCTGAGTGGGGCGTAAAACTAAACTCACTCACTCACTGACTCACTTGAAAGGTGTTAAATCTTGGAAATCAAAGAGATTCTCAAAAAGTAAATTTTTGACTTGTACCTCATTGAAGCATAGAAGACCTTATTAAACAATATGATTAGAACAATTTTATTGATTAGTATTTTTTACTAGAACTTAGTAGAAGCATTTAATGAAAACCGACAGAGTGATAGCTTTGTCACTTTTGGTTATTGGCCCACATTTTCTAAAGGTAGGGGCCAACTGGCCTGGTCCAAGGAAATCGTGGCAGCAGCACTGATCATGTTTCATAATGCATCCTTGCAGTTCAACGATTGAAGACTCCCTATGTAAAGTATGAGGCTGAGAGTTGTCACTACCGTCCCATCATGCAACAGTTAAAGACGTGGCCGCACTTCAACACAGAGACACCTCCAGGAACATGTCCGTTTGACGGACGGGCGCTAGGGAGGCCACAGAACTCAGAGCGAGGGGACAGGGAAGAGGCCGGGAACATCCTGTCCCCAGGGACCGCACAAGCACAGAGAGATGATCTGTCAGGCACCCCACAGGCTAAGTCACAGAGGTGGGTAGGGGTACTTGATCCAGCCAGTGTTCATGTAGATATGTATTTGCTCAGGATCTTCTGGGAAGAGTATCATCGTTGTGTGTTGGAAGAGGATTTGTCAGGGACCCCACACGTTGTCAGTATATTATACAGCAGTATGGGGGCGGTGGGGTAGCCAAGTGGTTAAAGTGTTTGCTTGTCATGCCGATGACCCAGGTTCGATTCCCCACATGGGTACAATATGTATGTTGCTAAAAGCGGTGTTAACTAAACTCACTCACTCGCTAAACTCAGTTGTATGACAGTCCAATCCATGAAATGAACTCTAAAGTATGTTTCTGTTTTCTGATTAAGGACCATATCTGTAGTACCCATGCCTACAATGACCCTTCAACTTGAATTTGGAACCCATGATCTGTCAGAGCGTTTTATGATCAGTCTGTAACAATTTTTGTATTGAATCGAACTCATAGCAGATAGAACATATAGCAGAAATGCAGTGTGTAAAGGGTGCCATAGGGCACCAGATATAATTTAGCTGTGCCTCTGTGAGAATAAGTGTGCCCATATCTGATCCAATTAAACTTAATACATCACAACAAATATGTTATTTCAAATTATTGGGTTTTTTAATATCAGTAAACATCATGTAAAAACATCGTGACTGCAAGAATGCTTCAGCTTTACTTTTCCTGGACCCATGGACTAACCCACAAACTATTTTATCTTCCAAAACAGGATTTTCTGTCATACGCTCTGGTATTCAACAGGCCACACCCTTGTTAAGCTGTGATATTGAGAGTGCCATCGATAAAGAATTTGTAAAAATGTAAAAATAGGTTTTGAATCTTTTTTGTTTCTACAAATCAATTGCATTTTACATGAAGTGAATCATGGTGAGTATTGTTTCATAATGTAGTGCCACAAGGGCTCTCTGTAAATATTTCATCCGTGCCATTTCAATATTTTCCGAGACTAAGCATTATTTCGATCACTGTTTTGCTTTTTATTGCTGTGCTTACTTGACTAATTTCACCTGTCCATGTTTTCAGATTAGACTCTTGAGTTGTAGACTGTCATATATGTGAGCACTTTTAGCTGAATAAAACCATGGACTGTTTCCAGTAAGACAGCCAAGCTTGAGGAGCCCAGCAACTGCAAGTTGTTCGGAGTTCCGATATTGACGGCCGGTGAGATCAAGCGGGAGAGGGAGCGACGGAAGCGGGAGACTAAACGCAAGGGATACTGTGAATGTTGCAAGGAAAAATATGATGATGTTGATAAAGTAAGCGGGATGTTAGGATTTTATTGTTAGTTTTGGTGACCATATGTTTGCTTGTTACTACCGAAGTAGTCAAATCCAGGATCTGCTTCACTTCGGTTCACCAATATTTATCTGACACGCTCTGGGGGCGGTGGGGAAGCCTAGTGGTTGAAGTGTTTGCTCATAACCAAGCCAAAGACCCGGGTTCGATTCCCCACATGGGTAAAATATGTGAAGCCCATTTCTGGTGTCCCTCACCATGATATTGCTGGAATATTGCTAAAAGTGGCGTAAAAGTCACTGACTCGTGCTGCAATGGTGTTTTGCAGAGTCATCTCCCTTGGGCATGCCAATATCCAATATTGTTTACACCCCGGTTCTCCCTGCACAGTACCTCCCAGAGTGGAGTTTACAAGTGTGATAACCTCTGAGACGCGAGTCACAGGCTTTCCCCCCTCATCACTCTGACACACTGTTATATACATGTTTGAGTAGTGTTCAAAATGGCATGAGCCGTGAAGATCCGGGCTAGAATTGGTCTTCAGTAACCCATGCTATTGCTGAGTGCGGCATAAAAATCTCTCACTCACTCACTCACTCACTCACTCACTCACTCACTCACTCACTCACTCACTCACTCACTCACTCACTCACTCACTCACTCACTCACTCACTCACTCACTCACTCACTCACTCACTCACTCACTCAAAATGGCATGAAATCACCCAGTGTCTCAGCTGATTATGTTTATAGTTTAACGCCCAATGGTGTTGATCACTGGCCATGCATACAACTAGTTTGCTTCAGATTTGATAATTTTTAGCTTCAATATTGCCAGATTTGGCATTACTCAATGTTCACTTCTTCCATGATGCATCTTGAATACTTCCCCTGGGTTTTTCAGCATATGAGAGGACTTCAGCACAAGAACTTTGCACGGAACAAGAAGAATTTCGATTGCATTGACAACCTGATCCACAAAGGCCCCAACACTGTTTCATTTCTACAGCGGATCCTGCTCCGACACTGTGTACAAAAGGCAGCCAATAGAACCAAAGAGTAAGTGATTGAAGAATATGCTTCTCTTTTTATTTAATTTAATCCTTTGATATTTACTAGATAAGATTACTAGCAAAGTCGGAATCATGTATTTTCTCAGAGATGGAAGTTTCCACAGAGTGAGTTAAGTTTTACACCTCACTCAGCAATATTCCAGCTATATGGCAAAGGTCTGTAAATAATCGAGTCTGGACCAGACAATCCGGTGATCAACAGCATGAGCATCAATCTACGCAATATTGGGGTACCAAGTCAGAGAGCCTGACCACCCGATCCCGTTAAGTCGCCTCTTATAACAAGCATGGGTTTCCGAAGATCAATTCTAACCCAGACCTTCACGGGTCAAAAAACAAAAGCAACATGCACACTTTATAACTGTATGTATACATATGTTTGATTAGTTGATTTGCAATTCAAATCTACTGAAGGATGCCATCAATCCTTTTTCTTTGTTCTTTTAAATTTGGTACTGACATTTTGGTAATTATTTCAAACAGTTCATGATAAGCCTTTTTGATAATAAAGAATTACTTGAGAGCCATGTGTTTTTGGGAGGGATTTTTTTCTACATGGAATCATAAGACCGGATGCATTGGACCAAATGTATGTTTTCCCTTTTCAGCTCACCAGCCTGTGAAGATGGGGAAGTAATGTTGATTGAAGAATGCTCCGAAAAGCAGAGTGAAAACAGCAGAGCTTCAAACCTGCCCCCAGAGCAACTGAGAGTAGAACGCAAGATGAACAGGAGACTTAAATATGACCGAAAAATCGAAAACTCTCTGAAAGTTAAAGTCAGTGTTGAAAAAACAAAACTTAACACAAATGTTGAAACTTGCGAATCTAGACTGGGAATTGTCGCGGATGGAAAGTGTAATGATCACCTATCTCCTCGGAAACCCCGATCTGGTAGCTTCCCCCGAGTCAACAGAGACAGTCAGGAATCGGAGTCAACCTCTGCCGTGGTGATACGGCGGTCGGGATCAAGGGGTCTGTACGGGTCTCCTCGACGATCACAATCTGCATCAGGGTCAGAAAAGACGTTGATCATTCGGGACTCGCCAATAGCAGGCTTGCAACCTCTGAAAGATTTCCTTAAAAGACATTCCACAGGTACAAAGGATGGTGAGAAAACTTCGAGGTTTGATGATGCTGGTGAAAAAGAAACAAGGAAGCGTAAATCTGATCACACCAAATCACCAGTGCAAGTGGAGAAGCGACACAGACACTCAGACAGAACCCCAGAGCGTGATTCGATATCGAGAGAAAATGTAGCGACGAAATCGTTAAAATATCACAGGTCGGATGTTGGGAAGGGTGGGACAGGTGCGGTGAGTGATACAAATGTACTTTCACCGGTAAAGAAATATGTAAAGGACAAGTCAGAAATCGAACACTCAAGAGTAACACGGTCCAGTCCAAGGAAACGGATTGACATTGAATGCAAAGTAATAAGTCCAAGGAAAAGCCACAGACTGTCATCTCATATTGATAACATGAGTCAGTTGAGTGATTTTGTAAAGATGGGAGAAAATGTGATAGACTTGTCCAGTAAGAGCGTTGTGGTCATCTCCAAACAGGACATGGAGTCGGCCGACTCTCAGCTGTCGCTGACACTGACAAGTGCTGGCAGTCCGCGATCAAAGTCTGGGAAGAACAGGCAGAAAGATTCTTGTTGTGGATCAGTGACTGTTGAGTCTCATGATGATCAGATAGGTGATAAGGGAAGTGTTGAAGATGATCCTGACTCGAAAGACAAACATAAATCTCGTTCAAGAAAACATCGTGACTGTGGGCATGATTCTGAGGTTAAAGCTGATGTTATTGTGGAAATGACGGCAGAAGTGAATGATCATAGATCTTGTTCTAAGAAGAGAAAAGGAGATTCTGAACAGAAGTCTCACTCTGAAGTTGGTATGATTGTAGAAAAGTCTACGGTAGCTGATGAACAAAGATCTCGTTCAAAGAAAAGAAAAGACCATGTAAGGTGTTCAGAAGTTGACGAAGCAAATGTCAAAGAGTTCAAAGGAAAAGATGACTTAACATTTCGTTCAAAGAAAAGACAAAGTGGAGATATTTCAGACGCCGAAGCAAATGACGAAGGATTCAGAGAGAAGGGTGATTTAAGATCTCCTTTAAAGAAAAGAAAAAGTAGAGATGGTGGAGATATTTCAGATGCTGAAGCAAATGACGAAGGATTCAGAGAAAAGGGTGATTTAAGATCTCCTTCCAAGAAAAGAAAAAGTAGAGACGGTGGAGATATTTTAGACGCTGAAGCAAATGACGAAGGATTCAGGGAGAAGGGTGATTTAAGATCTCCTTCAAAGAAAAGAAGAAGTAGAGATGGTGGAGATATTTTAGACGCTGAAGCAAATGACGAAGGATTCAGGGAGAAGGGTGATTTAAGATCTCCTTCAAAGAAAAGAAAAAGTAGGGACTGTGGTAAAGGTTCAGCCGCTGATGGGAGAGATCCACAAAGATCTTCAGTGCAAAGAAAGCATAAAGACACTAGAGAGGATTCTTTGGTTCAGAACAAGGGCATCAAGTCTCCAGAGTGCTGGAATCCTGGCTCAGATTCTCAGAGATCTCCATCTCCGCATCTGAAGAAACACGGCTCAAAAACACATGTCCTACAAAACCAAGCAGACAGTGCAGATCCTTCTCCCACAAAGGGAAGATCAAAATCCAAACAGGTTCTCCCAAAACCCTCAGTAAGTCAAGAAAAAATCCAACAGACTGAAGTTAGAAGCAGTTTTTGGACATCACCAAGGAAAAAAAAAAGAGGTCCGGAAGCTGGAGATGTGAAGGGTAAAGAAACACATTCTTCACAAGGAAAGACAAAAGTTGACAGTGAAAAGTTGAAAAAAGAGCAGGCTGAGGAAATAGGTATTTCTGATAATGAGACTGTGGTCTTCACTAAGAGGAAGAAGTGGAAGACAGCTATACGGTCAAGTCCTCGTAAGAAGGGGAGGAAGTTGTCCAAGTTGAAGCTGGATGAGTCGTCTTGTAGTGAATACTCTCAAGTCTCTACTCTGACATCGGATGTAACGCCAAAGAAAATGAGTATCCTGGAACAGGGCGAGTCTCAGTCGCCTGTGTTTAAACGAAGGTCAAGACACTCCATCAAGGAACTCTGCCATGATGGCAAGGAAAATTCTGAGTCTGTTGAACTGGGGATGAGAACACCCAGGAGAGGAAAGTATTGTAAGAAAGGTGACATTGAAGATCAAGAGGACGATGGAGCAGAGCAGGAAACACCCAAAAGTGGTTACTGTACAACGCCAAGGCAGCTCGAGAGATCTTGGAGAAGTATGAGGTCCAGCTTGGTAAATGAGACCGTATGTGATGGTGAAGACAAAACAGGGCAGAAAATTGTGAAGCATGACCCTGATACGACCCCTGTTAAAAGGGTCAAGTCAAGGTCACGTAATAGTGATACCGAAATGTGTAGTTCACCAATAATGTCAAGGTCAAGAAGGGCCAGGAGATCTGATGAATCTCATCAGGACATGCTTGAAGACAAATCAGCAGAAAGAAAATGTCCCGAAATCAGACAGTCTCCTAGGTCAAGGTCAAGGTCATTAAGACACAAACTAATTGAATGTGGTGAAAATGCTGCCAGTGCTAATGTCTCATCTTCTCAAAATAAAACTCCTAAGAAATCTAGGTCATCTTCCACTGAGAAAAGTCCCAAAAGAAAGAAACATTCATCACCTAAGAAAAAAGGAATGAGAGCTAAAAGAAAATGGCGTCAGTCAAAACCAAGCTCAGGGAGAAAGACAGTAAAACTAAATCGTAGTTGGCTGATTCTCAGCGAAAGAAGCATGTCAAAACTGTTGGAGAGTGAAGGAGATTCACAACCGTTTCTCGGCTTTCAGAAAGAGGAGTCTGATTCCAGACTTCCATCAGACTTGACTTACGAAGAAGTGTCCGAAGTTGATCTGAGCGATGATTCTACGCGAGAGTGGGTCATGGATGAACCTGACTTTGACGAAGAACAGAGAAATGATGCTGAGAAAAATCTTGGGGAAGATGGTACCGATAATTTGTGGTTACCCCAATTCTTCCCATCCCCAGACAAAGCTTCCAATTCTTCGTGGGGCGAGGCTTGTGACAGTTTCCTCCAGACTGCCTGCGAGAGAAGGCTCAGCGGTCATGCTTGCAGTACCCCACTTGTGACGTCTTGCATCAAGGATGGCACCCCGAGGACGAGGAATAGTCCATTCTGCAGTCCCAAGTTGGGTACTGTGAAAGAGGACGACGATTTAGACAATACTTTAGTGGCATCTGATTCATGCGAAACACCCAAAAAGTCACGCAAAATATCTCCCCGAAATTTACACCGTGAGTGTGATGAATCTGTTGACAAAGGTATTGTATATAACTTTAATTACCAAAGTCCGCAGAAGGCATTGGGACAGGATAGTAGTCAAAGAAGCTTCAGGGCAACAACAACTGATGATGGTGTGTGTATAGAGTACAAAAAGACTGGGGACTCGGGTAGGAAGTTACGGCTGTTGAAGAAAGCCTCCAACACCAAGAAGACGTTTCACATGAGTTATGTATCTAAACCAACAAAGTCGCCGAAACCTCGGAGGGTGAACCTACCAGCCGCAGGTACAGTGGTGGTGGTTTCTCCGAAAGGAAAGTTGAAGTAGTCTTGGTGGGCAATCTACGGCTGATCAGAGTAATTTTACGACTTTGAAAAGTATCTTTCTCATTTTAAACATTTTAAGGGTATGAATACCCAAAATGACTTAGGTGCTGCAATTAGCTTGGCGTTGTTGGCTTTTGAGAACACCTGGAAATTATGATTGTGGGTTTGTATCCCAGGTCAACCAAATTATATTTCTAGCTTTGTCTGGGCTATTTGACAAAAGGTAAACATCCAAGACCAGGGCCCCGTTTCACAAAGCTATCATAGCGCGCTACAAAATGACCTGTCGTACCTCCTTTATTGTAGGGCGGTGGGGTAGCCTAGTGGTTAAAGCGTTGGCTCGTCACGCCGAAGACCCGGGTTCGAATCCCCACATGGGTACAATGTGTGAAGCCCATTTCTGGTGTCCCCCCGCCGTGATGTTGCTGGAATATTGCTAAAAGAGGCGTAAAACCAAATTCAGTCAGTCAGTCAGTCCTTTATTGTAACATAGACTTATGACAGTCGTAGCCCTACGATAGCTTTATAAAACAGGACCCTGCATTCCTTGGTTTTCCTCCCATGTTAATCTAATATGCCATGATATGGCTGGATTTACAGTTCAAAGCAGCTCAAATGCTCTTTCACTCAAACATTTAGGATTCATAGTATCATTTTAGAAAATAAGTAAACATGCTAAGATAAGGTTCAGCCATGGTAAGGGTTTCAGACTGATCCTAATGAATGTCAACTCTGGTTAAGGTGTAACTTACGTGAATGGATCCTATGGTCATCACGATTGTTGCCAGATTTTGACTGTTAGTGGACAGTAAACAAGTTTAATGCATGATTGAATCTTAATCATTAACTTTCAGGCAGTGATTGTAAAACATCACCATTTTCAATCCAGCAACATTTTCAGCCTTATACACTTAAGAAAACGAAGGTCTATGTGTTTGTATTTTTACCCTGCATATAGAGAGAAGTTCATTTGACAAAGACAAACTCTGCCTCCCCACCAGTTCTATGAATTGTTACAAAGCTGGATTCACAGGGCATAAGTATCTGTGAGAGGAATTTGCATATGAAATTTTAGCTGGGGAGGGGGGATGTGGGGGAAGGAAATTTATTCTACATGGAACTGCTCCCTGACTGTCATATCTGACATAATCTGACATATTAGTATAGTGTCAAGAGTAAGTAAGTTTAGTTTCACGCCGCACTCAGCAATATTCCAGCTATATGGCGGCGATCTGTAAATTATCTAGTCTGGACCAGACAATCCAGTGATCAACAACATGAGCATCGATCTGCGTAATTGGGGACCGATGACACATGTCAACCGAGTCATTGAGCCTGACCACCCGATTCCGTTAGTCGCCTCTTACGACAGGCATGGGTTACTGAAGGCCAATATTCTAACCCGGACCTTCACGGGTATATGGTGTCAAGAAACTGTTGAGAAATGTTTACTGGTGGCAAAGATGGGGGATATGTTTGGGTGTGGGGGAATATTGGCTTAATAAAATGTATTTCCAAGTTGTACAATTATAGCATTACAACTAATTGTTTTTTATACTCTTTTGTTTATTGTATAACCACTACTTTCACTGGCATATTGGTATATTGTTCATTAAGTTGCAGATATGTAATTTGACTTGTAGATGAAAGAGTGAAGCAGACTTGAGGAAAATCAAGCAACAGTCAAGTTTAGGGCAGTGTATTCCGGGGTCTCGTCATCTCATAGAAACATTATTCTTCTTAGAATTTATATTAGTTCATGAATTTGCTGAGTACAATTTTGAGCAAGATGTATGTTGGAATGTATCTGTGAAAATGTGTCAGGAAACTGGAGGTTGTGTTACCTCAGTGTACATGTGTCAAGGAACTGGAGGTGTTGTCACAACTGTATCAGTGCACCTGTATCAAGAAACTGGAGGTGGTGTCACCCCAGTGTACATGTGTCAAGGAACTGGAGGTGGTGTCACAACTGTATCAGTGCACCTGTATCAAGAAACTGGAGGTGGTGTCACCCCCGTGTACATGTGTCAAGGAACTGGAGGTGTTGTCACAACTGTATCAGTGCACCTGTATCAAGAAACTGGAGGTGGTGTCACCCCAGTGTACAATGTCAAGGAACTGGAGGTGTTGTCACAACTGTATCAGTGCACCTGTATCAAGAAACTGGAGGTGGTGTCACCCCAGTGTACATGTGTCAAGGAACTGGAGGTGTTGTCACAACTGTATCAGTGCACCTGTATCAAGAAACTGGAGGTGGTGTCACCCCAGTGTACATGTGTCAAGGAACTGGAGGTGTTGTCACAACTGTATCAGTGCACCTGTATCAAGAAACTGGAGGTGGTGTCACCCCAGTGTACATGTGTCAAGGAACTGGAGGTGTTGTCACAACTGTATCAGTGCACCTGTATCAAGAAACTGGAGGTGGTGTCACCCCAGTGTACATGTGTCAAGGAACTGGAGGTGTTGTCACAACTGTATCAGTGCACCTGTATCAAGAAACTGGAGGTGGTGTCACCCCAGTGTACATGTGTCAAGGAACTGGAGGTGTTGTCACAACTGTATCAGTGCACCTGTATCAAGAAACTGGAGGTGGTGTCACCCCAGTGTACATGTGTCAAGGAACTGGAGGTGTTGTCACAACTGTATCAGTGCACCTGTATCAAGAAACTGGAGGTGGTGTCACCCCAGTGTACATGTGTCAAGGAACTGGAGGTGTTGTCACAACTGTATCAGTGCACCTGTATCAAGAAACTGGAGGTGGTGTCACCCCAGTATATGTGTATCAAGAAACTGGAGGTGTCACCTCAGGGTACATGTGACAAGAAACTGAAGATGATGCCACACCATTGTACATGTGTCAAGAAACTGGAGGGGGTGTCACCTCAGTGTACATGTGTCAAGAAACTGGAAGGGGTGTCACCTCAGTGTACATATGTCGAGAAACTGAAGGTGTTGTCACACTGCTGTACTTGTGTCGAGAAACTGGAGGTGGTGTCACCACAATGTACATATGTCAAGAAACTCGAGGTGTTGTCACCTCAGTGTACATGTGTCAAGAAACTGGAGGTGGTGTCACACCGCTGTACTTGTGTCGAGAAACTCGAAGTGTTGTCACCTCAGAGCATACGTCGAGAAACTGGAGGTGTTGTCACACCGCTGTACTTGTGTCAAGAAACTGGAGGTGTTGTCACCTCAGTGTACATGTGTCGAGAAACTGAAGGTGGTGTCACCTCAGTGTACATGTGTCAAGAAATTGGAGGTGTTATCACATCAGTGTACATGTGTCAAGAAACTGGAGGTCTTTTCACCTCAGTTTACATGTGTCAAGAAACTGGAAGTGTACATGTGTCAAGAAACTGGAGGTCTTATCACACCACTGTATCAGTGTACATGTGTCAAGAAACTGGAAGTGTACATGTGTCAAGAAACTGGAAGTGTACATGTGTCAAGAAACTGGAGGTCTTATCACACCACTGTATCAGTGTACATGTGTCAAGAAACTGAGGTGTCATCACCTCAGAATATCATTAGCCACAATATACAAAGTGTTATCAATGACATTACCCCATCACCTTTCACAGATTGATAGGCAGCTCTTGTATATTGTTTCTGCTGGTGTACATATTCAACTCACTGATTACTGTTTTAACCGACTGTTTTTATGACTTTAGATATACCAAAATTATACATATTTAGCACTGCCCGTCAATAAGAATTTTGATTTTGTATATCGCTTCTAGATCTCTGAGAACTGTCATGGGCAATTATGATTCCAAGGAACGTGTACCATATTGGGAATCGAACACTTCATAGAAGATAGTAGTATCAACTGCTGCTGTGAGACTCTTTAATCTGCATAGAAAGAAGTGGCAGTAGTGTAATATAAGTCACTTGGATCTGTCTGTGATTCAGTTGACACACTTGTCAAAAATACTGTGCCAATTGGCATTTTTGTTGAAATCCTGTTAGAAGCTGGGAGTGATTTTGTGATTATTACAGTCCAATATCTTCATTGTTTAAACTCACTCACTCACTCATTGTTTACACACTGCAGCTGATGAAATATTTCAGTGCCCACCACACCAACACTGTTGTATAGTCTTAAGCATGTATTTATTTAACTATTCATTAATAGAAGAAATACATTTTTAGCTTGCCTGGACTGTAGGGGTGAAACGGTGTGCTTGAAACTGTACGCTCTTACCATGGTGCGGTACGTATTGCGGTTAAAGCCTTCGGTTCGATCCGTTTCGGTTCGGTATATGAGACATGATTATAATGCAGAAAATTGACAAGAGCCAAACCTTACATTGTTTAATAACATGGAAAAAATAACCATAATCTTTGTTATTTTGAATGGGGGCGGTGGGGTAGCCTAGTGGTTAAAGCGTTGGCTCGTCACGCCGAAGACCCGGGTTCGAATCCCCGCATGGGTATAATGTGTGAAGCCCATTTCTGGTGTCCCCCACCGTGATGTTGCTGGAATATTGCTAAAAGCGGCGTAAAACCAAACTCAGTCAGTCAGTTATTTTGAATGAACAAAAATGTTATTTTATGACTAAATAGAAATGACGGTATGAAAACCGAAAATACCGAATTTTTGGATTGCATTACGGTATACTGAACAACAGGAAAAACGGTGTCCTCCCATTTGTGAGAACTCCCAGTTGTGAGACACATTAATTAATGGTTCAGTGCACATAGGTGGTGTTTCCACATCCCTACAATGAAAGTGGGATCAGCCCAGTTGTTGAAGAGTACCCACAGGAGTCATTGATGAGTAGATTAATGAAATAGATTATCCAAGATTCTATTTACACAGAAGAAATAGACTATTATGAAGTTTGAAAGTCATTTTGGTTTAAACATATTTTATTATTATTATGAAAATGAATTGGAATAGGTGAGCAAGCATTACGTCGCTCCCATGCAACATAAAATACAAAATGTAAAAGGAGGATGTGCCATCATCGATATTGACTATTGCATAAATATATTTTTAAGTATACATCAAATACAACTATTCTCTAAGTAGTCATAATTAGAGAGTTACAGTTGTGTGTGTCTAACAAGCTATTGTAGGAATATAAATCAATCATGAGAAGGTTGTTGAGTTAATTTAAGTATTTTCCTGAGAAAATTTGAAGCGTTGTGTCTTGATGATATAATCGTGGACAGATTCAACTATTTTCTGGTTTACACAAGGAGTAAATTCTTTGTTTCCGTTCAAAATGGTATCCAGGTTATAACGGGTAGTGTCGGATAAAAAGGACTTGGTATAAAAGGCAGTTCGACTGTAAACTTGTATTTCAGAGTTATTTCTTAAACTATATCTTGTAGTTTCGGAGACGGGTGTAAATCTGAGTAGGTACATTAATTTATCTTTCAATGATCACGAAGTTACCTACACAAAGTGTATGTTAATCAATTTATCTTTTAAAGTTTCATTAAGACTTCCACAAAATTCAGTTGCATAGCAAATCAGTAATTAGCTAGGGTTAACCCATTCTATCAGACAGGGGAGTATGGTGTGTTTTCTTTGTTAATTACCTACTCCACTGTCTCATAACTGGGAGTCTCACAATTGGGAGTTCTCACAAATGGGAGTAGACCGGAAAAACACTGCAGTTCTACTAATACCGCGGTGTACTGTTTCACCCCTACTGTACAGATGATCATTGACTTGTTGAAACAAGGATGTCTATGAATGTTCATGCCAGTCATTGATTGTACCCTAAATGACTTAAAGACGATACTCTTAAAATCATATAAAATTAATTAAATCACTACAGTGCTTATCAATAGCTTGAAGAAATTTTCGTTGAATTGATTTTAGATTTTCAATTAATATTTTAGAAATTAGAAAAATTTTGCAATACTTTAAATGTCATTTGAGTATTAAGCTCATGGCTCTATTTTTAGTTAGAAAAATATTTATTTTATGAATAATTTTATGATTTTGTTTTCCAAATGGAGACTTGTTTTAGTTGTTGTTTATGATTCTTATATAGTCACTGAATATGTTATTGTTATGTAGACAGGGACAATATAGTTTCTTGGAAGCTAATATTAGATATATCCTTAGTAATATTGTTCCATACAATTCAGGTTTCTCTGAATAAAGTTTGGCCAGAAATTGGTTGACTTCTCGGGACTTACCTGGTACTGCCATCTTTACATGTTATGTTTTGTCTTTTATGAATATTTTAGAATCTTGATAGACATCGAAACTGTCTCAATTCAACATTATGTTTGTGATGAGTTAAAAACGATTTTCAGCCTAATCAGGCGGAATATCGTAAATAATACTGACATCAACTCATATATTTTCAGGTTTTTCATTTATGTTTTAACAATTTCATTCAAACCAAAAGTATTTCTCACTTCAACTAAACAATGATCTGAGAGCAACTGTTACACGTCGTGTCAGAACAACCTTTCATGCAACCAATATGAGTGTCATTCGTCAGATCCGGAAGGTGAATGTCACAATGGTTTTCGTATCATGCCAGCTCAAAAAGGATAATATGAGGTATTTTGAGTTGACAGTTTTAGGCTGTACGAATGTTTCCATCGCTCAAACTTCTGTGGGATGGACATTTGAAACGAGATACTTTCCATAGCCTGTGGGAAGTACTGTCGTACAATGTCACTTATTAAACATTGTGGCATTTTGTTTTGTTTATTTTTCAAATTTGTCAACAATGTTTTTCAGTTTTCAAACCATTTGTGGAATGGAAGCTGCCAGTTTGAAACTTTCTTTTGATCCGTTTCAAATTTTGCATGGAGAACTTTGGAAGCTGCTGTTTAGAAACTAGGGCATAATTACACTGTCCTTCAAGTCCGAGTCTTTATCTTGTTTATTTCATTGGTCAGTCAAGTTAACGAAAGGTCATTCTGAAGTGACCTGTAATGGGATGGTCAGATCTTTGTGTAGCGATAGCAAGTGCTGAGATTTGATTTGATTTTTAGTAATGTCATCTTGAAAATACTATATTAGGTTGAAATTATGCTTCCACCCTTTTTTATATCATGTTTGCCAAGTTTGTCATTTTATGAACATTATTTCAGTCATGTTCGTTTTGCCTCAAGACACTTGGCATATTGACATAGAAAAGATTTGAAACAAGATTTTTAATTCACCATTCCTCAACTGAATATGTTAGAGATCCTGGTTTTACAGCACATCATCTTGGAAATGTTTAGCACATGTGCTCTATGAATTTATTTATTTTATTTAGAGTAATCCACCCCCTCTTAAACAAGCTTGATCTTGGTTTCTAGTGTGTTTTTTTTTGTCAGTTATTAAAAGCACGCCGAAGACCCGGGTTCGAATCCCCACATGGGTACAATGTGTGAAGCCCATTTCTGGTGTCCCCCGCCGTGATGTTGCTGGAATATTGCTAAAAACGGCGTAAAACCAAAGTCAGTCAGTCAGTCAGTTATTAAAAGAAACTGAAACTACTTCAGCTTGTGTTTATTTCATATAAACTATACATTCATTTGGGAATGACTTCAATTGAGACAATTTAAGGAGAGAAAATACTATTGCAATAGTCACCCCTACTAAATTGTGCTAAGGGCAAGTGAAAAAGCTACCACTGGCAGTTTTGATGACAAGTTGAAAATGGGGTTAAAAATGTTTAAATATTGCTACAAAAGAAAACTGAATACACTGTAAACATTTTTGTCTTGTTGAAGCAGGACTAACCACAGACTCTTGTAATGAGGATTACACTGTAACATATGTTACATTTGGGATTACACTTTCTTAGTAAAGTACAGATTCTAGTACTTTTGTTGGGTTGAGTCCCATCCGGGATTCAAACCCACACCCTCAGAGTCAGGCACCTAATCACTAGCACACAAAGTCGGCCGCCTAACCCACCGCAGCTTCCACAAACATGGAAGTCGGACAACTAGTAGTCTGGACTGCGGACTTTGTGTACCCCTCTGATAGATGTACATTGGCATGGCTCCCACGACCGAAAGCTATGATTACACAATGCCATTTAGAAAGTGGTCAAATGTAACATATGTTATATTTGTGATTACACTTTCTTAGTGAAGTACAGATGTGGGACTCAACCCAACAAAAGTACTAAAATATGTACTTTACTAAGAAAGTGTAATCCCAAACATAACATATGTTACATTTGACCACTTTCTAAAATTATGGCATTGTGTAATCAGAGGATAACACTGTTCCTCTGGACTATTTTTATTCAGAAGATTATCCAAGGCTGAAAGAGTGGTTACTGCTCCACCCAGCATCACCACTCTTGCAGCTATTCAGAGCAAGGCCTTGATGCTGTTCAGTACTTAGATATGCCAGAGTTATGGAGACCTGCTCAAATCAAATCTGAAGCAGTCCGAGAGAAACTCCCTAAGTAGAATAAAAGAATTGTCAAGTTTTCGGTCATAGTTGTGAGTAATCTGATGGCTGTGAGGAGGTAGCTTGTATTTTATGGGTAACAGAACCAATAAACAATGTTTAATTTAATGTTTTTGCATCGAAAATAAATTTTTAATTCCCCCGAATTTTAGAAAATACAGACATCTTTGAGTGGCATTTTAGAAGTTGGGATATACAATATTGAATAAACTCTTTGGATGACAACTTCTTTTATTTCTTGAGTACAACGTTTTGATAGATTCTTGTACCGTTGTCAAGCAGGTATGTTGTCATTTCTGTTTGACAAGAATCTGTATCGAAACGTCACACTCCCGAAATAAGAGAAGTTGTTATCCATAAATTTTGTTCAATATTGAAAATGCAGACATTTGAGAAAGTCCCAGTTTTGAACAAAAATACTTGTATTCCCTTCCTCAAAATCTTTTGAATCTTTTATACTTCCCGATTTTCTTATGCTGCCCGTATTACTGGGAGTATTTAATGGAGATGAGAGTATTATTGGCTGTTCAATACATGTTTCCTTCAAGATGTGTTCATCTGTAAGAAATTATCAAATTTGTTGTTTTGCAGTTTATGAACATGAACTTGGACTGTGTGAGTTTGCAAGTTTTCAGTATTATTGTCGTCAGATGTGTACATGGAGTGATATGATTCACAGAAATATTGATATAATCACTGTATAATGTGTGTTGTTAATGAAAGTGTTGTCTTATCCGTGTAAGTCATAAAGGCCCAAAATAAACAATCTATCGTGATTACTCCTTGTTTTGTTTGTCCACTTTTTAGGAACAGTGTTTTGTTTGTTTGTTTGTACAAACTGCCTGACTTGGTAATGTTCAAGCGATTTGAGGCCAACCTGTAAGTAATCAAGTCTGGACCAGACAAAGCACGGAATGGTATCTTCGGCATCAATCCACATACCATAGGCAATCTATAGACACCAACCAAGTTACTGATCAACCCTATATATCCCACACTCTCTCTCTCTCTCTCTCTCTCTCTCACTCTCTCTCTCTCTCTCTCTCTCTCCCTCCCACACTCTCTCTCTCCCCCTCTCTCTCTCTCTCTCTCTCAATATATATATAATATATATAGGGATTTTTATAATATATATGGGGCGGTGGGGTAGCCTAGTGGTTAAAGCGTTGGCTCGTCACGCCGAAGACCCGGGTTCGATTCCCAACATGGGTACAATTTGTGAAGCCCATTTCTGGTGTCCCCCGCCGTGATGTTGCTGGAATATTGCTTAAAGCGGCGTAAAACCAAATTCAGTCAGTCAGTCAGTTATAATATATATATATATATATCTATATATATAAACAAGTGATTTCTGCAGGTGTATAAGCAATAAATATATAAAATGTTATATATGTTTTAACATGTGCGGGATGTGGCGAGCATTATATTGGAGAAACAGGAATGCAACTAAAGGATCCTAATGTGCGATGTATAAATGTAAGCAAACACATTGATGAATGCAGGAATGGCCAGTTTACTATCTTTCCGTTTTGTCAATTGTTTAACAATGATAAACAATTACGGATGGAAAAAGAACAAATGTTCATAAGGCTGTTTAAACCTAAGCTTAATACAAAAGTATAAATTTGTAACTTTCTCAATGTAATTCAGTATGTATTTGTGCACTGAAACCATAATGCATACCTGTCCACCACTATTGTTTCTAACTGTGACTTCAAAAACACGACGTCACAAACGTAACCTGACTGTCACCCATGACTACGTTTTACGTCTCCCGCTATTGTCAATAACTGCTTAACGTCATACGCATGATGACGACATAGCTATTACCGTTATGTGTTGCCTATGACGACACTCAGCTTTCATCGTACACCTGAAGAGCCGTTGAACGGCGAAAGATCTTGTGCAGATATAAAGGAGATTTGACAAGAAATATATTTATATACCTCTATTGACGAGCTTCGGGCGGTGGTGTAGACTAGTGGTTAAATCGTTCGCTCATCACGCTGAAGACCTGGGTCGATTCCCCACATGGGTACAATGTGTGATGCCCATTTCTGGTGTCCCCACCATGATATTGCTGGAATATTGCTAAAAGCGGCGTAAAACATTCACTCTAACTTGAATCCTCATGGACCTTTAGAGATAGTGAGATAGCTATGGTGTCTGAATATTGGTCACAAACTTTTGCAAGCATGACTGCCAGTTAGTGATTCAGGTTCACTACAGTCATTTTTGCTGTATTTTTGACAAATATTTTTATGATCTTATTCTAATTCACAAAGAACGACAAGTGGTCTAAGTTACCACATGTAGCTGCAGTTATTGCCCTTAGGCATGTCAGAATACAAAGATCCTGAGTTTGCGTCCCATATTCTTCTTTGGATTCCTAGTTTATCAATGCTGATTGGTCTCTCCAGGGTAATAACTTCTGGACTTATCCAATAGATGAATGGCTAATGTAACTAAAAGACAGTGTTAAGAACAACTAATTCCAGGTTACCCAACATACCAAGGCTTTTTGATAGAACAATCTGATCATTAGCATTACAGATTTTTTGGTATGTAAACTGGTTGAAGTGCTGCTGCCCACTGACATGTCAGCTGCAAACATGTAACAGTACTGCCTCTGCAGATCATATCAGGCTTGTTTGTAATAGTGACGGTCAGTTACGCTTGTAGTGACCCATGCAGCTGTCTTTTGTAAACCCGTTTTTTTCAGAGGGTAGTTGCTATGCAACTGTGCAGTGAACTGAATTTTATAACATTTTTAATATCAGGGATGTCAACTTGAAATCTATTTTCAGCTGAAAATTTAATATTGTCATCAAATGGGGGGTTAAGAAACGATCAATTTGAAATAAAATCAGCGTAAATCCACGAATTAGCAGTAAATTGCCGTCCCTGTAATATTATTTTTCTGCATTACTAAACAAATTCGAAACATCTAAATCAGGACTCGATTCACTGCTTTGTTACTTGCACTGGTGCAACCCAATATTACAAAGTGCAACCTAGTTACGAGTCTAACTTGCACCAGGTGCAAGTCAATTTTTGAGTGGGTAAACTTCTGAATAAAACATCGAAATAATTCAATAGCATATTTCTGATATTACATATTGCAATAAAAACAATGCAACTGGAATTTGACTGGTGCAACTAGGATTTTATCTTAGGTTGCACCTGGCGTAATTGGGTTAACATCTCTTAAATCGAGCCCTGTAAATGTACAGACCATTTTTTGGTTTTCCAAAGTGGGACCTGCTTGGTGGAAGTCATTCTGACTCTGGGTCATACAATCCAGTCATTCCCATGCTGTCAGAGTGTAACACTATGATCCAAGTCACCGAGCCTGACAACCCACATCCGCTTAGTTCCTTACACAGCAAGGACTGTCTCTGTCGTCCTGTGTCCAGAGAATGAATGAAAAGCTCAGGGGTTAATCCCTTTGCTGCATGAACCCTTTAAGATCCGGGTTAGAAATGATCTTCAGTAACCCATGCTTCTCATAAGAGGTGACTAACAGGATCGGGCGGTCAGGCTCACTGACACGTCATTGTATCCCAATTGTGTAGATCAATGCTGATGTTGATTACTTGACTGTCTGGTCCAGACCACCTCCACACAGCTGGAATAGTGGCTGCATGATACCAGCAGATGCTTGAGGATGGTTGTTACCAAGCTTTGTGCTCAGCAGGTAGAACAAGGACAGTTCAGCTTCTGCATACCAGGTCCAAGATGGGTATCCGTGCTAAACAGTGGCATGGTACATCAGCGGCGAGCAGTGCAAGACTGTCATAATCAGGATGTCCACATACATGTGCATGTAATTGCCATACAAGTGCTTGACCACAATGTCAAACCACATTCCAACACCCTACCAGCAAGCCAAACACACTGGTCACCTAATCCCAGGCATTTGGGTTGCCTAGCAGTTAAAGTGTATGCTCCTCCCGCCAGAGACCTGTGTTTGATTCCTCAAATGGGTACAAAGTAGGGCTGCAACGAATACGCTATGTGGCGAATTTGATACGTATCATGAATATTTGGTAACAAATACGAATAAGTACTCATGAATACAATATTGTAGTTAAGTGATTGATGTACAATATGGAACGCCCATGTCGACAGTTCAATTTGTCACAGCAATAACCAGTGATATTACGACACTCAAATTTGGTATGTAATAGTTATAATCGACAGTACCATGTGCGACCTTGGCAAACTAACATGACTTGCACTACTGCAATGCTAGTACATGTTCCATTCTTGCATATCTCACTTTGGAAAAGGACATAAGGGTTCAAGTAAAACATGCTCCCTTAAAAAAATCGTTAATATTCGGTTCTGGTGACCACGAATAACGAACTGAATTCATGAAGGGCTACGGTTCGATTCACCGAATATGCGAGTGAATTGTTACAGCCTTAGTACAAAGTGTGAATACCATTTCTGGTGTCCCTTGCCATGTTGCTGGAATATTGCTGGAGTGGTGTAAAGCTCACTCCTCTGACCCAAATACACAAAGAACACAACACTAGATTCATTTTGAGAGGTCCATTTCTGGTGTCCCTTGCCATGTTGCTGGAATATTGCTGGAGTGGTGTAAAGCTCACTCCTCTGACCCAAATACACAAAGAACACAACACTAGATTCATTTTGAGAGGTTTTGGTTTTAATGGCTATGACGATGAACTTTGAACACAAAGTTCTGCAATGAGACAATGACATATCATTCAAACCGATTATGTGAACATCAGTGATTGCAGTTGTTCTCTCTGCCAACACTTGGGCGCGACAACCGTTGACATTGCAGACTGCAAACAACAGGAATGGAGTTCATGCTATGCGCTTGTATCATAATATATATATATGTATATGTGTATATCTTTATCATAACTCGATAGTCACTACTACTTACAGTATATACAATCAACATAAATATCTTCAATAGTCTACAAAACCTTTGGCCAATGCAGATCCATAAAACATCATGGCGTATCTACAGTCTACTCCTGCTGTAACAAGACACAGGCAACAGTCATGTAAAAATACATGTGCCGCCACCAAACACTCGCAGTCACCAGAAAAACAACAACTATGCCCGGTAGCTGTCAGCATCAACGATAGGGGGTAATGATGCGGTGATACACAGTCACCGATGTGAGGGACATGACGAACCTGTGATATGGTCACTGACTCAACACATATTTGACTATCCTGTGGTACAGTTTTTGACGATATATAGGGTTAACTATCCTGTGGTAGAGTCGCTCATCTGATGCACAGGCTTCACTATCCTGTGGTAGTCATTGACTTGATATATGGACTTTTTTTAAGCATCCTGTGGTAGTCACTGACTATATATAGACTATCCTGTGGTACAATCACTAACTTGATATATGGACTTAACTATCCTGTGGTACAGTCACTGACTCGATGCACAGACTTAACTATCCTGTGATACAGTCATTGACTTGATGCACAGGTTTAACTATCCTGTGGTACAGTCACTGACTTGATACACATACTTAACTATCCTGTGGTACAGTCCCTTTCACACAATCACCAGATTGATTACAGTGCAGAGCAAAGGGACACAACTCAGCTCAGCCAGTCAAGAGACCTAAGATGCTGTATATATTTTGAAAAGATCCTGAACTGGTCCCATCCAGCCTAATACACCAGTACCTGTATTCCAGGTCAGCATCAAGTAGCTCCGTCACACTGCAATGTGTATCACATCACAAACACCCCTATCGTTAACATGCACCAGTACCCTACCATTCACAGAATCCCCTAGCAAGTTTTCAACATATATTTGGCTGTCATGATTACAGATGCCATAGCCTTAGAACTTTTCACTGGATACGGTCTGAAAATTCAATGCAACAACTGATAGATCATTATGACATATACCTTTTCACATCATTCTCTGAAAAGTGTACAATGTGATATTTTGCATATTTATAAAAACAAAAGTACAAAAATGTCCAATTCCAACTTTGCTAACAACATTCAGTTTCTCAGAAGGGATCCAGGTCACACAAAGTTTCTACCAAGATTTCAGTTTTCAGAAATATCTCAAGCTTCCATTAAATGTTCCCCGATCATGAATCACTTGCCAAAATGAAGTTCATTTTCAAACATTCTCTAATTCACAAAACTGATGAAATCTGATATCTAACCACTCTGAGAACACAATGCCTCCTTTTCAGATAATCTGTGTAATATTCATTAAATCAAAAGACACACCTGTTTTTGAGGTATGTTATGATGGTTTGATACTCTTACATGTCCTAACATAACTGTATGTTAGAGTATGTCATGGTTCCTCTTTCAAACATCCTGTTTATCTTGGGATAGACACAACCAGAACCACCTGTTTAATGTAATTGTTTCAAGGGACTCTCTCATCCCTTACCAACTCAAAATGAGGTTAAATATCAGATTTGATCCACACACACTATATACAAAAGGAGGCAGCGTTTAACATTGCCAGAAGCAGTTAACTGTAAAAACAGGGCAATCTAAATGACAAAAACGAACTAAATGACAATCTGACTTTGACCTTACCATAGTGAATCAGTAACAGCACGACAGATTAACTGCAGTAACATCAATAAATTATGTCATTTAATGTCTTTTCAGTGATTAAGCAGTATAAAAAACATGAAGATGTCATTATATTTCTTGCATAGCAATAGCGAGCACAAATAGTCAACTGAAAATACGTCTAGTTGGGCTTCCGATCACCATGGAATTATCAAACTTTCCAGTTAACATTGGCAGCCATGATCGTGAGTTCAAATAATAATCTCATGATGATCTCGAATCACTGACACAAGACCCTATCAGATTTCATGTAAAGTTTATCAAAGCAACAGCTAGCTACAAAACTGTATTGCACCATCAGGGTATTCCAAAATTCAAGAGGCTTGCAGTTAGAGGTATGATGATCAAACATGTATGTGATGCATTTTCAGTTACACCAGACCATAATAAAAATGTTGGCTTTTAACGTTTACCTCATGTACATAATATATATCTGTGGTATGGCCTTATCGCTAATCAATAGGAATAAAATATTTTTTTTTATTTTGTCAACAAGTTCTGGTGGTAAAGCAGCCTTGTGAAATTGACGAAATGAAGATATCGTATGGATACATCGTGGCCGACACATGTCGGTATAACATTGTGAAGAAAGCACTGCAGGTTGTGCTCATAACCTTGCTTGTCAATCTAAACAGTTACTATGGTGCAAATCTTAATGTCCTTGATTAAAGCTTAACATCACTTCTAACCAATTTAACTTAACGATTTACAGAGTTTCTAAGAAGTGAATAACAAAGAGGAGGCAAAGGAAAAATATTAACGAAAACTGTAATCTTTGATACGAGGTTAAAATCCTAAATAAAATCATCAAAAGTTCTACATTGTATGCAAGTACCAGGCAACACCATGCATGCATATTACATGACATAATGTTGTACCAGGTAACACATGCATGCATGCATATTACCAGGCAACACCATGCATGCATATTACATGATACAATGTTGTACCAGGCAACACCATGCATGCATATTACATGACACAATGTTGTACCAGGCAACACCATGCATGCATATTACATGACACAATGTTGTACCAGGTAACACCATGCATGCATATTACATAATACAATGTTGTACCAGGCAACACCATGCATGCATATTACATAATACAATGTTGTACTAGGCAACACCATGCATGCATATTACATGACACAATGTTGTACCAGGCAACACCATGCATGCATATTACATAATACAATGTTGTACCAGGCAAAACCATGCATGCATATTACATGACACAATGTTGTACCAGGTAACACCATGCATGCATATTACATAATACAATGTTGTACTAGGCAACACCATGCATGCATATTACATGACACAATGTTGTACCAGGCAACACCATGCATCCACGTGTACAATGTAAAAGTTGTACAATGTTGTAACATGTTTCATCAAACCTCTAACTGCAGCTCCAACATCAGCAACATTTACAGAGCGGACCTGGCAAGTAATATCTCAAAGGAATGGCTTGTGCTGATGTTTTGTTCAAAACACAATTACCAAGGCTATGGAACCAATGAAATTCAGAAAACATCGATATTTTCACAATAGTCTCGACTTGAAACAGACTAACATGACGCAGGCAAACAGCAATATCATCGTCAGATAAACAGAAGGAGTAATTATGAGTAACTTCTGTAATTCATCTTACATAACCAGTAATTTAGGTCACGACGGCCATAGACATTACCAGAACAACTTACAAAGTAAGCTAAGCAGTGTATAAGTTAAACTGACAAGCTGTATTATCACAGAAATATATAATATGCATTGTACTGTTGAATGTCTTCCGTGCTGCCACAATATACCCTACACTACCAGTTGACTCTGGGGACTGAGCAAACCATGTTTCAAAATAATCACTGATCAGTTTTTCCTCGTCTCATGTGTTTACGGACTAAGGAAATCTTGAATCAATTCACACAGAATAGTCTTGCCTGTGAAACACTTCAGACATACGGTCTGGACAAAACTCAATACATTGTACCAGAAGAGTGAATGAAATCTGTCTCATTTTACATCTTGATTTTAGCAATTAAATATTGTAACCTCCATATTTTAATAAAGACTTGTGAAGCCACAGTGCTATGATTTCATTGTTATACAGTACTCAAAGTAAACCTTTAAAACCACACTTTACAATTTTACAATCCATGCCAAATTGAAACAGACACTGTTACCAAGATCTTACTTTGAAAAGAATTAGACGAAGAAGCAGATTTCACACACCAGCAATAGTGTATCAGCATTCTGTAAATATACCAGTCAGTTCAGTGTATGTGACTTCTAGTAAACATCATTAACATTAACCTTGAACTACAAAACAGCTATACATTTGTTGAGGTATTGTCTTGAGCTTTGATCACATAATAATCTGACAGCATATCACCGAAGACAAAAGAGAAACGTTTCCTTCTCAGGATTCATCTCCTATCAGAATGTTCATAAACTCATATTACATAATATCTCTGGATTCAATAAACCTACTAAACCAACCATCTCAAATCCTCGCATCGTTTCAAAATATTGGTCTTAATTAGGACAAGAATAAAAGGTATTTTGATAATATATTACAATTATTACAATTCCAATCTCTTATGTCAGTCATGATGCCATCTTGAATCTTCTGAGGTGTTCTTTGATAAATTTCAGTTTTCATTTTAACCAAGTTCTGAAAATCATGAAATTAATAGTGTCCCTCGTTAGCATTAATAAAGTAGCATTTATTTCTGGACATGTTGACATTTGTCAGATCAGGTTTACTGCACATGGCACACACAATGACGTATTAACAAAGCTCAAAAATAAGCCATGTAACCCAGAGATGCCAACCCCAAAGTGTTGCAAATAGTAGTTTCAAGGATCAAAATTAGTAGTTTGATCATAAAATTAGTATTCAACCAAATACTTAAAATCATAACAGATTCTGAGAAAGATAATATGACACTAATATCAAGAGTGAAGCTTTAATTTCACATACCTCTAGCAGCTGATTTCCAAATTATCAGTACTACATTTCTTCTTGTCGTCTCTTTTTGGCGAAAGTGTATTTAATCGACGAAAATGTATGTTTTTGTCTATATGTCCGAATTTAAATAATATTCTTCAAATTTTCCGTAGAATTTCTAGTGCAATCGTATTGGTGTCGTTTGAGGCTAAAATTCGTAGCGACGATGATAAAATCGTAGAGGTTGGCATCTCTGTGTAACCGCATGCTACATTCAAGTTCTGCATCAAGAGTGGTTTAATTCTGCTGATTAGTTTCTAAAGTTCAAAGACAGGGACAGTCACATTATTCATGATAACTCCATGACACACTTAATGCCAGAGTAGACACTCATTAATTTAGTGACACATCAATTTCATGATTTACACTAAATCCTGAACAAACTTCTGCATCATGATAACAAAGCGACAAGTGTCATCTTCACACAGACATCTGACAAAGAGGCCATTAACACAACTCCACAGCCTAGGTGAGCACAAATCATCACTATAAAAACCCTATACTCATGATTACATTAGTCAGTTGAGATTTTGGCTTTTCACAAAGAAGTTGATAGGGAAATAGTTTCCGGTTGCGTGTCCAAAGACGTAACATATTACAACAACAGAGTGACAAGCAACACACATTATCATGGAGATACAACCCTGAGAAAGTTGATGTGTCTAGGAAACAAGTACAATAACTTATACAAAGTCGTGACTTCAGAAAGCAACACAAAAGTAACAAATTATCAACAGTCAGCTTATGGGCACACGATGTAAGGACAGACCTCTCAGTCTGGGACACTGGTCTCTACTTTAGGAGAAAAGAATGTGTGTGTATGCGCGGATGATACTCAGAGATTCATCAGCCGTGAATGTGATCCAAAATGTGACATCTTTTCAAATCCGAGCCCCTAAATATGTGTCATATTTTAATGAAACAAACAGCTAGCCCTGATCATATATATTAATTTTTGCCCTCTCAACAAGCCCTGTTTTGCTCGAGTGCCACATTTTGTAACAAATATTCCACAGCTGGAGAAAAAATAAAATAATTCATACAAATATCTTTTTACTGACCTCAAATAAGATAAAAACATACATTTTAAAATGGAAAATAAATTTTTTTATTAACCTTCTTTCTCAGTCATTAGAACAATACTGTAAGTATAGACTTATGCAAATGAAGGTTTAAATCAGTCCATTTATTCCCTATCAGGGTTAAAAAGACACCAGGAGCCTATTCAACAAAGCAGCCTTAGCACCATGACTACTGCAAGCCCGTGTTAAAGTACATGGCAGTTATGAACATCTGAATGGTAAGATCGCTTTGAGGAATGGAACCAACATTTCATGAACCCTACAAAATAATACCTTCAAACACAATTTTGGCTGGCAACATTTGCACACAAATTTCCAATTCTTTCATGATTCAATCTCTGAGAATCTGTCAATTTTGTTTCCAAAGCAACACCGTCTCTTCTCCATAACAAAAGACCAGTGTCGCACCGGAAGAAATCCTAACATCAGCAAACATTCAGGACCCAGAGTGATCTGCTCTGAGAGCTGCGACAGATTAAAGTCTATGTTCATGTGTCGAGGTCACACCAGTTGAAGCACTATGATCACTTTGTAGCCCATAATGCATTCATACATTACGAGGAACAAGGAAGAGATTTTGGCAAAGGTATCAGCTTATCTGGCAGCTGTGTCATTTCCATGAAGGACACCAGTTTGGCTTTGCATGTCAGTTTAATTACACCTACTCAAAGAAAACCACACCTCATACAAGTGAAAAATGAATATCAATTACTTACAGACCTTGGTGCTGTTGTACAAAGCAACCGTAGTGCTACGACAGTCGGAAGTCTATGTTAAGATATGGGAGTTACGATCACCTTAGCCCAAAGATCGTTTCATACAACGGCACCCTGGGACACAGAGCTTGTGGTACATTTTGGACGACAAAAATTCCCTTTCCCTACTTAATAACTATCGAAAATGTAATACAAATCGATAATTCAGAATCCTTTCACTGTACGGAATTACTTCGTAAGGAAGGGTGAAACCTTAATATTCCAAACAAAACTTTTTATCTTTGGCTTCATGAAAATAAACCCTCCCCAGAACTACCCATAATAAGGTTTGTTGAACAGCGTAAGAATTACAAAAAAGATTCCAAGTCTTACCATTTGAAAGTTTCTGTTTAGGAATGTTGAGGCTAGTTTGACAATGATTCTTAATTGAAAGGAAATCCATAAATGAATGAAATTAACTCAGTAGGGCCATATCCCATAACTGTTCTGACCCTAGTGGTCAAAATGGACAATTTGTGGTTTTCCTATTTCCCAACTAAAACACAATCATCAGCTATTCAGCCCCATTAAAGCTTCATCCATGAGTTCATCGTCTATTTCACAAGGGGAGTGACGGGTATCGCCACTCCCTGGGGTCTCGGAATTACTCGTGACCTTGACCCCCGCAGGGCTTTGGCTTGGGCGTGGTGACTGATGCACTTTGGATTTAGGAGAACTTGACACAGTAGAGGATTTCACAGGAGTCTGTTTACCATCAGTGGGTGGTAGAGGAGCTGGTGCATCTTTTACTGGACTTTCAAGAACTGACATAGGAGATGCCCCGTTGCTATTGATCTTAGGCGTCCCCGGACAATCTATAACAAGCCCATTTTCGGGACTACTTGCATCACTATGAGGGCTGGACACGTTCTTGTTTACTCGTTGCTTTTTTCGTGGCAAACACTCTAGCTCGTCCATATCGCGAGTCTCAGGAGTGGAAGCTTTGGGTGTCGGCACTTTGAATGCTTCTCGCTCCTCCTTGTTAGGAGTCTTTTCTCTGGAACTTTCTCCATTGAATTTAGTATTGTTGAACACAAGAGGCGAAGTGCAATGTTTTTGCGAAGGACTTCGCTTCTCCACACCTACATTTTGCACATTCTGAATCGTCAAAGGAGAGACACTGCCCCCTTTAATGCTGCCTTTATCTGAGAGTTCAGACTTTTTATTATTTGACACATTTCCCACAGGCTTATTCCCTGTCACTGGAGACCCACTTCTCCCACTCTCCACAGACTGTCTTCTGTTTCTATTATCATCCTTTGAAAAGGCATTGACTTTATCCTTTCCATCAAGAACAGAGTTTGTTGAAGCACTTTGCCTGCCAGGACTATCTTTAATCCCAGGGCTTGACTTGCCTCCAGGACTAGCCCGACCCACTGGGCTGTCTCTATTTTTCAGGGCCTCCTTATTCACGGGACTGGCCCTTCCAACAGATCTAGAGGAACCCAAACTGTTCGTCCTAGGTGAAGAAGACACTGAATTGTTTTCGGATGTAACCACCTTGTTTAGCGGAGATGAATTTTGCCCCAGTTTTATCATTTCATTACGACTCACTTTATTATTCACAGAAGATAACACTTTGGGCGAATCCTTATTTGACGATCCCACTGACATATTCCTTTTGTTTTGAGAATCTATCCGGTTCCGGTTATCACCAGAATCGCCTTTATCTCGCTCTGTCTTTGCACTATTTAACACATGATCTTGAGCCTTATTGTCAGAGCGGGCTGCTCTTTGCTCAGCCAAAGCTCTGTTCTCTTGTTCGGCCTTCTCTCGAGCTTGTTTGGCCAAAACTTCCCCAGGTGTCATTGTACTGACATGCACAGAAGTAGTGCTCGATTTAGTCAGCTTATCAATCACAGCAGACAAGGACCCCTTCCTTGATCTGGCTGCAGGCAGTTTGCCTTTATTTGCACCAGCATCACCAGATCCCGAGCTGGAACCATTCCCACCAGCACCTTCTGAAGCACTTGAGGACTCAACAGGTTTGCTATTTACAGTGGCATTACTTTTTGAACTGGTATTCCCTGAAGCACTGCCACTGGAAACTTTAGTAGCACTAGCACTGGAATTACTTGCCAAGGCTTTAGAACTGTGTGATGCACTGGTGGTACTTGTTCCCCCAGGGTTGGGAGCAGCTCCTGATGTATTGGTGGAGAGATCCTTGGAGCTAGAAGCTCCAGAGCCTTGACTGGGGTTGCTGTTGTGACTAGTTCCACTGCTAGAAGAGGAGGAGGAAGAGGATAATTTGGGGATTGGGGGAAGACTAGCCACACTGCTTGCCGTAGGCGCATCTGGGAGGAAACTAGCTATGGACAGGGCAGCTGGGAGGGAAGGACCTGAGGTAGATGAATTTTTGCTGGAGCTAGAACTTGAAGCATTGGAGGATTTTGGCATACTGGAGGTTTTTGAAGTGTTCTTATCCTTTGATGAACTACTGCTACTACTAGACTTTGTTAAGCTGGAGCTCTGAGATTTTGTTGAACTAGACTGAGGACGAGAGGAGCTTGATGTTTGCGTTTTTGATGATTTGTTTGAGCTGCTACTGACTGACCTATTAGAGCTTGAAGATTTGGATGAGCTGGTGCTGGTTTTAGGAGATCCTGAGGATGAGGAGGTGGAGGAAGAAGAGGATTTGAGTAACGTCTGAGATGAAGACAGCTTTGGATTTTGACTTGATGGCCTTGCTGGACTGGATGAATGACTTTTAGATGAACTTGAAGGATTTTTAGCAGTGACAGGTGTAGTGGGAGTTTTAGCACTACTGGTGGGTGTTGACGATTTAGTTGAAGCAGAGGTGACAGATTTTGGTGAATTTGAAGCTGAAGGTGACTTAGAAAGGTTTGACACAGGGTTTTTTTGACAAACTGAGTGATGTGGGAGGTTTTGGTAGACTGGAAGAGGATTTGGAGGATGTAAGGGATTTAGACGAACTTGATTTGCCCGAGGACTGGGAAGCAAGCTTGGAGGGGGAGGATGTTGGTGTCCTCACTGGAGAGGGTGACAGAGATACTTTAGAAACTATGGGCGTCTGAGGTCGTGATGAATTAGACACAGACGTTTTAGTGGATGTAAGACTCTTTGCTGTGCTTAAAGCAGAGGGACTCTTTTTGTCAGTTTGGACAGTTACTGAAGATCCTGAGTTAGGAATATTGAGTGGTTTGAGTCGGATTGTAGTTTTAGTTGCCAGTTTAGGGTCTGACTTGCTAACACTATTACCCTGAGATTGATTTGGACTTGCTGATCTCTGAGATAAAGATGATGAGCGATGAAGACTTTTTTTGAGAGGATGACTGTGATTTATGGCTTGAAATTATGTCAGGATCTTTCAAGTCATGTTTGGAGACAATCAGCTTGTCTACCACTGGAGTGGATGAGTGTTTGGAGGACTTCTTGGAGGTGTCCTCCTCGATCTTGAAAGAAGGCTCTTTGGACACTCTAATTTTCAGCTTGGTGACTGACTTTTGATCACTCTCCACAGTTGCAGCATGATATACAGTTTTATTCACAGCCACACTAGAATACTGGTTACTCTCACCCAACTTCCGCTTCTTTCTCTCCTTCTTTGATTCATCCTTCCCTCTCTTCCGCTTCACAGATTCACCACTTGAGCCATATTTGCTCTCTTTCCTTTTATACTTTTCACTCTTTCTACGAGACGAGGTATCGTAAGAGTTTTTTGATTTGTTAGTAATCTGCAGCCTGGTAGGTGACGCTGCATACACTGCTAACCTCTCCGAGCCACTGAGGCTTGGCAAAGGTTCATCCTCATCCTCATCACTCTTAAAGTCAAATGTACCCACATTGCTCTGTTTACCAAGGCTTTTACTGGACAGAGATTCCATGCTGACTTGAGGTGCACTACGACTATCACTATGCCTCAGAGCTGGCAGCTTCAGCTTCAACCCCTTCCCTTCCTCAGATTTCACAATACTTGTACCCACTGGTTCCACATTTTCATTTTTTAACTTTTCAAACTTTTCAAACAGACCTGTAATCTCCCTCCTATCCGAGGTACTGGATTCAGTCTTAATTGGAGGTGTTTTAACAGAGTACTTAGTCTCAGGAAGATCAAATGCTGTCCTATCAAACATTGCACTGTGTAGAGGATCAGACCTTTCACGGTCAGGGCTAAAAACCTCCTTGTGAAAACTTGCGGAGATGGGAGATTTGGAGTCCTGCCTGGGACTGCTGGACTTAAAGCCTAAAAAAGCAGCATTTCTTCCACTGTTTTTATCAGACGCTATACTGGAAGAGGAACTACTGAGAGAAGAAGCTGGGTCTAGAGCCTCGTTTCCCTCTCCCGACCCAGCGAGGAGATCCTCAAGAGAGGTAGAGGCATTCTCGTTTTTTGAACCCGGTGATGAATTTTTGGATAAAAGACTCCTCCCAGGATCCCCATCAGACAACAATGCTGTCAGTTCACTATCTGTTGCTTGCTTTTGATCCTTTGGAATCAAACTGTCCATACTATCTGCAAGTTTCTTCAGATTTGATTCCCCAAACGAATCTTCTGTCAAGTCAATAATGGACTGCAGGCCTGCAGAAGGGGGCAGGCCAGAACTGCTTTGTAAACTAGAATCAAATGGACTACAGCTCGAGTCCAAGTCTATAGTGGTTATCTTATCATTCCCCTCGCCATCACTCAGTCTATGTTTTGGACTCCGACCTAGCTGGTCAGAAGTAGAACGTCTTTTGCGCACACGTTTATGAAGGGCTGTTGGTTTTGTTGCATTTGCCATGGGTAAAGAACCTGCCACTGCTGCAGCAGCTGCTGCAGCTGCAGCTGCAGACGAAGCTGCACCTGTAGTCTGATCTTCTAAAAGTTTGGACAACATGGGGCTGTCGTTCACTTCTTGACTAGAGCCATCGTGTTCCTGGTCCAGAAGTCCAGCCAACAGAGGATTATTGCCAATTTTGTCCAAAGGGGGTGAGAGGAGGTCGGCAATGGAACTGCGCACATCTTGCATCTGTCCCCGCATGTCTTGCATCGGACCCCTCATGTCAGTCATTTGAGCAGGTGGAGGCAGCTGGTTGACTTGTAGTTGATGCTGTTGCTGCTGCTGCTGCAGTTGATGATGATGGTGATGGGACATCTGGTGAGCCATGGGGTGGGGCATATGATGATGAGAGACTTGGTGTTGCATTTGCTGCATAGGGGCCATCTGCTGGGGCACCTGGGACAGGGCAGGGTTCACGAACACTGGTTGTCTCCCCCTTGTGTGGACACTGGGTGTCTGTGTAGGTTGGGGGCGGTTGTTGCGCTGCCACAGGGCCATCTTCATCGCTGCCAGCCTTTCTTCAAGCAACTTCTGCAGCTGCTCTCTACCCTTCTTAATGATTGACCTCAGAGTGATTGGGATTGACAGGCATCTGGAAAAAAGAGGACAAATCGTTAATTAGGAAGCCACTGTCTTGTATTAGCTTATACATATATTTCTTCTTTAATTCTACAGTTAGCAATATTCCAACTATATTACAGCGACTTGCATATAATCATGTAGGGCCAGACAATATTATTGATTCGCAATCAACTAAGCTTGACCATCAAAAGCTAACCACCTCATAACAAGGTGAGGTGAGGTGAAATTGGGTTTAACGTCGTGCTTGAGAATATTTCGCTCATATGACGACGTGCATGCGTGTGTATGTGTATGTGCGGCTGCTTGTACTAGCCCAGACTTAAGCTGGTTTTATAGTGCTAGCCCACTGAGATACCATGCCACAGTGAAGCATGAATACCCCACTCAGACACATTATACTGACTCCGAGCCAACCAGTCCTTGTTGTATCCATTAATACCGAGCGCAAGGCAGGGACCAACAAGTACCATATTTTAACGTCTTTTGGTATGACGCGGTCGGGGATCGAACCCGCGACCTTCCACTCTCCGGGCGGACGCTCTAACCACTACACCACGGAGGCGGTTACCTCATAACAAGGCCTATTCAACACTTTAGTTGTTTAATGCCACATCTGTATGTTCCAGCTCATAAATAATGAAGTCTGACCAAACAATCCAGTGATTGACATTAAGAGCACTAGGGTAAAATAACACTGCATCAACCAAGTCACCAAGCCTGATCCATGGATTATAAATCAGACATATATTGGATAATGACTGAGTTATTGATCAAACTTAATGTTTCATGAGGATTTGCTTCATATTTCACATATTTGATCTGGTATGTAGTTTAAAACATTATGGTTCTGCCAGATTGTCATGACTGGAATGATTGGCATCAACAGCAAAGATCTAGGTTAGAATTGGTCTTCAGCAACCCATGCTTGTCGCAAGAGGCTACTAACGGGATCGGGTGGTCAGGCTCGCTCATTGTATCCCTATAGCATAGAACAATGCTCAGGATGAGGATCACTGGATTGTCTGGACCAGACTCGATTATTTACAGACCGCCACCATATAGCTGGAATATTGCTGAGGGAAGCGTAAAAGTAAACTCACTCACTCACTCTATTTACAGACTGCTGCCATATAGCTGGAACATTGCTGAGAGCGGTGTTAAACAACAACCAACTAAATGGGCAGATTGTTTTTGTGTATTACTTTTCATTTTCAATAACACATCAGTGCAAAATATAATAGTTCAAAACTGAGAACATGCAGCGTTTCATATGCACTTTCAAACACAGTATGTTCAAATAATGAAACACAGTAAGTATTTACTGTGAAACTCTGGTATCTTAAACTGGTCAGTAATGTGATGTAACTTTTGAGATATTCAAGTCAGATCAAGTAACAGGCTGTGTATATAGATCTATACCACATGTTCATTTGAACATGTATTTTGTAAGAAAAAAAATCAATATAATATGTGGACATATGTACATTTGGTTACATGTGGGATTGCAACTCCAAACAGCTGCCTGTGGTCCTCGTATTTACAAAAACATGTTATATATTTTTACGAAATCAGTCTGGGACAGATGTTGCTTTGCCACTAATGCCCACTGTTTCGATGGATGAAATTGATTTAGCAATGTTACAAGTGATCTTGGTTTTGTGGCCTAATACTGTATTCCTCTGTCTTTATTACAGAGAATTGCTCAGCGAAAATGAAATTCTTATTTGAAATTCTCAAAGGTGACATGGCAAATACCACCTCAAAAAGAAGAACAAGATTTGAATTAAGTCAAAATTGAGACCAAGTCAAAGGTTTGAGATAGCAATGTGTATTTGTACTTTGAATTTGAGTGAGTGAGTGAGCGAGTTTAATTTTACACCACATTCAGCAATATTCCAGCTATATGGCGGCGGTCTGTAAATAATCGAGTCTGGGCCAGACAATCCAGTGATCAACAGCATGAGCATCGATCTGTGATATTGGGAACTGATGACATGTTTCAACCAAGTCAGCGAGCCTGACCACCCCATTCCGTTAGTCGCCTCTTACGACAAGCATGGATTACTGAAGGCTCATTCTAACCCGGACCTTCATGGGTACTTTGAATTTGAGATGAATTATCAAATTTATATGTATTCATATAGTGAGGTGGTCGGGACAGGAGAATATTTTTTCAGGATATCATTACATTCGAGATAATGGAGTCATCAAGTCATCAAGATCACGATGTACAAGGTCACACACAACATGATCATATACAGCTTTATGACAACTGTGAAGATCAGGGTTAGAATTGGTCTTCAGAAACTCATGCTTGTCGTAAAAGGTGACTAACAGGATCGGGTGGTCAGACTCGCTGACTTGGTTGACACATGTCATCGTATCTCAATTACGTAGATCAATGCTCATGCTGTTGATCACTGGATTGTCTGCTCCAGACTCGATTATTTACAGACCACCGCCATATAGCTGGAATACCACTAAGTGTGGCGTTAAACAACAACCAACCAACCAACAGCTTTAGGAACTATCTTACAAAATTGAAATTCGTAATTAGACAGAACACTATACAACAGTTATCTCCCTTACCTCTGGAATACCCTGGAAGCAAAGTCATCAGTACAGAGGACCTGGTCTGTGTGACCTGATGACAGGCGACATTTGAGGCTTGTGATGTCTCCCAGGTCCAGCTCCACATTCAGCATTGAGTCATACACAGGGTGCTCCATGGTTATACAGATCTGTTGGAGTGAGATCGTTGTCAGCTCGATCACAACAGCATTTGCCATATCTGAAACATCAAGTAGCCCAGCTAAAGTGGATTGTAGTGGATAGGGAGATCGTTGTCAGCTCGATCACAACAGCATTGGCCATATCTGAAAACATCAAGTAGCCCAGCTAAAGTGGATTGTAGTGGATAGGGAGATCATTGTCAGCTCAATCACTACAGCATTTGCCATATCTGAAAACATCAAGTAGCCCAGCTAAAGTGGATTGTAGTGGATAGGGAGATCGTTGTGACCCCAATCAAAACAGCATTTGCCATATCTGAAACGTTAAGTAGCCCTGCTAAAGTGGATTGTGGTGGATAGGGAGATCGTTGTGACCTCAATCACAACAGCATTGGCTCGGTTATACAAGGACCCCTTGATTTTCATTAAAATTTGAACTCTGCACCTGGTTGACTGTCGTCATCAACAGTGAATTGCTCTTGATGCAGTGAACAAATATTTGGTTCCAGACCAAATTATTTACATGCCACAACTGGAACTCCGAAAAACATGGATTTACATGTATACTTTATTTAGCTTATGGTGCATAATCCATCACCCTTCATACCTTGTACATGTAAAATATTCTCAAAGCTGGAGAGTAAACAAAACCCTCAAAACTATTTCCATCATGATAGAAAAATCTGCTAATAGCAGTCTGTTGTTTGATTCAAACTACATCAGAAGCATGTGCTTGCGAAGCACCCTCAAATCAGGGCAGTGGGGTAGCCTCAGGGATGGAAATAACCCATTGCCCAACGTCCGAGTCTAGTGTTTTTTCTGCCGGGCAAGCAAATTTGTATATCACACTGTAGCGGTGTCCAGTTGCCTTTCCAATGTTAATTATGTTGTTTATTTAAAAAATCAGCAAGAAAACGGTCGGTATAGTGGAACAATTATCAGGGCAAGTGATTTTACATGTGCCACTGTACCGGAGTACACTAGCAATTTTAAAGTTATTTACACCCCTGAGCCTGTCGATAAAAGCGTACGGTCATCATGCTGAAGATCCAGGTCTGATTCCCGACATGGCTACAACGTGTGATGCCCATGTTGTAAACATTGAAGAAGTTGTAAATCCATACCATAAGTTCTTATGCCCATTTCTGGTGTCCGCCGCCATGATATTGCAGGAATATTGCATAAAACCAAACTTACTCACTCTCAAATCATGATGGTACAAGGTGTTCACAAAAAAAATAAGCATATCCTGTCCCACCATTGGCATCAATTACAACGGCAAGTAGCATGTACTAACACAGAAACATAGTTTAACAAACTTCAGCATCCCAAGTTTCTGGTAAGTGAAACTCTGTATTCAACTCACCTTGCTTGGAGTTGGGTCTGATGCAGCTGCTGACGACGGTGTTGAAGACAAGCTGCTGACGTAGATGACTGAGGATGTGAGCGACGTTCATGGGATGTGTGAACGGGATGCGGGACACCATGACACCAGGCTGGTCCAGAGAGCTGCCGTTCACGTTGTTCATGAAGTAAACATGCTGCTGGTCTGGCAAGGACTGAAGACACACACCATCAATATGTGCAATAGAATTATCAAGACGTGTAATTTTCTGGTCTCAAAAACCACACACTCATACTGAGCTATTTTATTTCGACAACCCAAACAAATCTATCACAATTCTGATAACTATAAATGTATTGCTTTATGCTTAGTTCCAGCAACATGCCATGTTGATATTGATGCTCCAAAAACAGGTTGAATTCCTAATAAACTAACCTGTCCCCACAACCATAAGACAGATGTTCTTCAGTAACCTACTGTGGTCCTAAACAGCCTGAATGTTTCAACTTGTTTGAGTGGCATTTTAGAAGTTGGGAAGTACAATATAGAACAAACTTTATGGATAACAACTTTTTATTCGTGAGTGCGACGTTTCGATACAGATTCTTGTACCGTTGTCAAGCATAATGGAATATGAAGAAGGGGGAAGTTTATATATACTGGATGTAACAATGTAACAAAGAAAACAACATAATTAACATAATTGGCTAGGCAGAAAGCTGATGAAGCCAGAGAGTAGACAAAGGACAGGCGTGGAAGCCAATGATGTACAAATAATAATGAGATCTTTATACAGCAGAGTTTATACAGTAGATTGGGCTTGGTGGATGAGTGCATCATAAGCGGATGGAATGATGCTTGAAAACGGTACAAGAATCTGTATCGAAACGTCGAGCTAACCTGCACACACGAATAAAAAGAAGTTGTTATCCATAAAGTTTGTTCTATACTGAATGTTTCAGTTGGTTTGGTGTTGTACATTCAAGGGAGTCCATAATTATATCATGACAACAAGCCACACGACTTACCACAAAGAGCTCTTTCTCATTGAGAGTTTTTCCATTTGAATATTTTTCCATTATGAGTGACAAAAGGGGTTTGGGATCGGCACTTTTCTCTATGTCCATATCTGGAAGAAGCAAACAACAAATATAATAATTTTTCATATAATTCAAATAACATTGCAATACCACACGTAAAAACTTTGATAACACATTTATCAGTCTGGTCAGCTCTGTTCCTCTGGGAATAATTATAACATTTATAAAGCACTTGTATCCACCCAAAGCGCGCTAAGAAAGTATGACCCTGGTTAACCCAAGCTGCCTCCGAAGTGCTAGAAGGTTAACAGTCATATGACTTATCTTGCCAGGTACCCATTCACAATGGCAAGTTTTAACAAACTCAGGTGAGACCACATGTGTCACATGTGCTTCCTTGTGGGGCAGGACTCAAGTCTTAGAAATCCTCAGGAGTCAGGCTGCCAAACACGGTCGCCCATCCAAGGACTCCGCACTCAACGTTGCTTAACTTCAACTGATTCATGACCTGAGCTGGACCACACACATGGCACTTTATTCACCAGACCATGGAGGTGATGCAATGGTCAGATCAGCACTACCTTGTTTATGATAGATCAGGCTTGTCTGTTCTTATATTAGGCTTGTCTGTTTATCTGTATGATAAGATGCTAATAAATAAGGTTTGTCTGGTTGTTCATGTCTATGTTGCCAGGAACTCAGGAGCATGTAAGGAATCAAGTCTAGTCCAGACCAACCCACTGATATATAATGAGGTGAGGTGAGGTGAAATTGGGTTTTGCGTCGTGCTTGAGAATATTTCGCTCATATGACGACGTGCATGCGTGTGTATGTGCGGCTGCTTGTACTAGCCCAGACTGAAGCTGGTTTTATAGTGCTAGCCCACTGAGATACCATGCCGCAGTGAAGCATGAATACCCCACTCAGACACATTATACTGACTCCCGAGCCGACCAGTCCTTGTTGTTCCCATTAATTCCGAACGCCAGGCAGGGACCAACAAGTACCATATTTTAACGTCTTTTGGTATGACGCGGTCGGGGATCGAACCCGCGACCTTCCGCTCTCCAGGCGGACGCTCTAACCACTACACCACGGAGGCGGTCGTAATATAAAGAACATTCAGCAACATTGAAGTAAAATGGCACATGATCAACCAAGTGAAATAGCCTACACACAGAAACCACTTGATTTGGCTCAAATAACAAGCTCAGGCTACAGGGGCTAGTTCTACCCAGAAACTTGGAGATGTACTAAAAACGTTACGTGTGAAATCTACTGACTTGTATGTGACTGTATCTTCTGTATCATGGACAGGGCCAGAGGGATTGGCTCGGGCAGCTCCAGCACAAAGCAGGCCGGGAACGTGAAACTGTTGACATGGGTCAGGCCTTGAAATGACGGGATGCTGAAACAACAATGGTACGTAAGGAACTCTTTTCTGCTTTATAAATAAAGCGTTAACTCTATTATAAGTAGTTTATTGTTACAAAAAAACTTCTTGCAATATACTGCAATACATATCGCAATACATGCTTTCACATCGCAATATATCGCAATATGAAAATTCTCGGCAATACCCACCCCTAATCAAAACTAACAGAATGTCAACAGAATCAAACATCCACGTGAGCTCACCCTTTCCCATCTCTGTTGACGACAGTCATGAGGGGCATAGTCTGCAGCTTGTTAGGTGTGGCCGCCTCCAGACACACGGTCACACTCTGACCCAAGCCGTGCTCAGTGATGGCTGAAACAGACACAGCTCCATATTAAAGACGCTCATCCATGCATTATACTCTACTGTAGAGTTTGGTGTGGGGCATGCATTCAAACAAAAAATGCATGTCTGGAAAGGAAAACAGCACAATCAGGTAATGTCAGAGTCTTGTTATTCCAGTGTCATTTTCAAACTTTTTCTGCATATTTGTACACAACATTAATGGGGAAATGGTGATTTTTTTTTAATGAGTGAGTGAGTGAGTTGGGTTTTATGCCGCTTTTATTAATATTCCAGCAGAATCATGGCAGGGAACACTAGAAACGGGCTTCACACATTGTACCCATGTAGGGAATCGAACCCGGCCTTCGTCGTAATGAGCGAATGCTTTAACCACTAAGATACCCCACTGCCCCAATTTTCTTAGTATATTTTAAGCAAATATGAAGCTCATTATTAGCTCTGCAAACATAACATCCCACTGCCAAAAATTATCAATGATGGGTTTGAGGACTTTAAAATCAGTGTGAGTAAACCCAGATGAAGGACAGTGCACCCAATACACTCAGTGAACTTTGAACTGGACATGACAAGATTTGGTTTCACGGGCACATAGAACGTCACAAGTGATTGACAGGTTATGAGTTTGTCAGTTGAGTGCTGGAGTTGACAGCAACAAGTGCTGATGTTTCTCACATATATGGAAATAAGAATGGAAATGTGTCAAAACAAAATGATAAAAGAGAAATAAAAGTTCTCTAAAAAAATAGTGAACTCAACCCACAGTTGGTGTGTGAAACTGTAAAACTCGGGCACTAGTGTAGTTCCAGAATATAATTTAAGCTTTGACTGACTGACTGAGTTTGGTTTTACACCGCTTTTAGCAATATTCCAGCAACATCACGGTGGGAGACACCAGAAATGGGCTTCACACATTGTACCCATGTGGCGATTCGAACCCGAGTCTTCAGCGTGACGAGCCAAGGCTTTAACCACTAGGCTACCCCACTGCCCCTTAAGCTTTGAACTTGATTCAAGTTGCTATGTTAAATTCTGTTGTTTTCTACAGTTGCCTTTCTGCGGCAAGGGAGATAACGGACTCTAAATGTTCAGTTTCAACCTTTGCTGAACTGGGATGGAATTTCACAGCTCAGTCTTATTACCTCAAGTGACAATTATGAGTTATGTCCCTTTATGTCCATCCTACTGATAAAGTAGAATCCAAGTAGAATTTCACATGAACATCCTAGCATGTCATACAAATAAGGAACTGATGCAAATAACATAAACTATTTTAGTCTCCCTAAAATGACTGACTGACTGAGATTAGTTTTACGCCGCTTTTAGCAATATTCCAGCAATATCACGGCGGGGGACACCAGAAATGGGCTTAACACATGTGCCCATGTGGGGAATCGAACCCGGGTCTTCAGCGTGACGAGCCAACGCTTTAACCACTAGGCTACCCCACCGCCCCCCTAAAATGAAATGCAAAGTGTAAACTTGATATGTTCAGGGCCATTTCATAAAACTTGTAAGAGTCTGTTACATTTGACACCAAAGAAGCAGCTGGCTGTTGGAAGGGAGATAACTCTACTTTTACAGATCAATTTCAGATTGTTTTTCTTTGAGATTTCTAACAAAATCCAACAGTTCTTTTTTCAAGCCAAGAAACAATTGACATATTTCTCTTCTGTTTACTCATGATGGGAATTGATAAGAAAAGTACAGTTTTTAGGGCAGATAATCCATTTTTAAGACTTTTTAACAACAGACTGTTATTATCGGACCTCAATACAAGCACACTGAATACAATGCATGATCCTCAGAATGTTTCTAGATGTATACTGGCCTACCTTCCACTGTCATGGCGTGGGCAGACTTGCTCTTCTTGTCTAGTAGATCATAGGGCGATACAAAATAAATTAGCTTCATTGGCAAACCTGAAAAACAAAAGACATTCATTCTTAAAATAACATTTTGCCTAATACAAATACAAATATTTCATCTTTCTAATTATTATTTCAGAGTTTACTATTTCAAACCAAAATCGATGAAAGGTTGTTAGTCAGCATAAAGTAGAACACAAAAATTATTCTTTATCCTTTGGCTAAAAAGTCAAACAAGATGATCTGACCGAGAGCTATACAAGGTATTGTTTGGTTGTTGTTTAATGCCGCACTCAGCAATATTCCAGCTATATGGCAGCTGTCTGTAAATAATCAAGTCTGGACCAGACAATCCAGTGATCAACAGTATGAGAATCGATCTACGCAATTGGTATACGATGACATGTGTCAACCAAGTCAGCGAGCCTGACCACCCGATCCCATAATTCGCCTCTTAAGACAAGCATAAGTTGTGGCTTGGAGACCACTTCTAACCCGGATCTTGGGTCAGCTATACAGGGACTACTTCATGTCAACAGGGATAATATGCATGTACATGCATTGCAAGAATCGGTTCAAATTACACATCTGTGTCGTCATTACACAAAAGGTCTAACCCCTCTGACGTCAATACTCTAACATAGCAATGTGATACAGTTGCTCCAAAATCTCGATGTAAAAATTGAATTCAACCTTCAGAATATATTTTTACACAACCAATCTGGGCCATTAGCATAAGTCATACTGGAGGTACCACAAGTAAAATTAATATGTGTTCAAACTAGCACCCTTGACTGACTGACTGACTGACTGACTGACTGACTGACTGACTGAGTTTGGTTTTACGCCGCTTTCAGCAATATTCCGGCAACATCACGGTGGGGGACACCAGAAATGGGCTTCACAAATTGTACCCATGTGGGGATTCGAACCCGGGTCTTCAGCGTGACGAGCCAACGCTTTAACCACTAGGCTACCCTACCGCCCCAGCACCCTTGACAACATAATAGTATATTATAAGCTCTGCAATCATTTCAGCTAATGATAAAAACACTGACCCAGTTAAGCCTGAATTAGTGAGTGGATGCCATTAACAAGAATCAACGCTAAACCTACATCAAATCAGATTAGAAATACTCAAGTCTGGACCCTGTAAACATGTGACTAAAAGCATGGACAAATTATCAGAGAGACAGGCCAGCTGATTCAATGTAGTCATCTCCCATGACAAATATAAGAATAAAGGAGAGCTTCTACCTCGGAATTCATGGCTCCTGAGATTGGGTGAATGTAGGTTGTTTATTTCTGATCTCACAACAGTGTGCCAAATAGTTTCCAAATTTGGCGAGCCAGTCGGGCTAACTATGCCTAAACGTTACTAGCCCACAACATAATTCACTAGCCTGAAACTTGAATGTAGACACGGGTTTCCTCATTAAGCTGCTAATATGATGAACATTTTTATCAGACCATAATCTTTCATGATTTAAAAGTGTATTATAACTTAACTAGTCGGAGAAAGTGATATATTTACAAAATGACTCCATGAAAATTCACTAGCCTGTCAGGCCAGTGACTGTGGAGATTAAATGGCCCAACTGGAGTTATACTAGCCATAGGCTAGAGGGCCAGTGGCTTTTTCGAACACTGACTCACAAGCTTGTAAAATACCAACTGGAGGTAATATTAATTCTCTGTCACTCACAGCAAACAAAACTCTCTCTGTAGTGCATAAGTACCCAGTAATGCTTACCTCCCTTCCTTGGTAACAGGATTCCTAGAGGGGACTTGTGTATATAGTTTCCAACACCATTGATAGAGCTGGAAGTAAAATCATGTGACTATGAAAACAAAATCAAGAGATAAGAGACAAGGTTAATTTTTAAATCATCTTCAAGATTATTCACACACACACACACAGTGATAGGCATGCATCTGCTTGTACTAGTTCAGGCTAATGGCAAGTTTACAGCTAGTTCAACTTCACATTGCTTTACTATCCATGACTGACTGACTGACTGAGTTTGGTTTTACGCCGCTTTTAGCAATATTCCAGCAACATCACGGCGGGGGACACCAGAAATGGGCTTCACACATTGTGCCCATGTGGGGATTCGAACCCGGGTCTTCGGCGTGACGAGCCAACGCTTTAACCATTAGGCTACCCCACCGCCCTACTATCCATGAAAACAACAATGACAATCATTTAACATCTTTAGGAAGAACACATCTGCTCTCTATGCAGTTGCTCTATCCAGACAACAGATGCAGTTGGCAAAGAGTTTAAGGAAACGGATATATATATAAACTGCATGCTGCCATAAATCAACACAAAAATAATTGATTTTACACGGATAATACTTTAGGCCTGAAGCAAAGTATACCTATTGTACAATTATAACTAAACATTATACCTATTGTACAATTATAACTAAACATACCTATTGTACAATTATAACTAAACATTATACCTATTGTACAATTATAACTAAACATACCTATTGTACAATTATAACTAAACATTATACCTATTGTACAATTATAACTAAACATTATACCTATTGTACAATTATAACTAAACATTATACCTATTGTACAATTATAACTAAACATTATACCTATTGTACAATTATAACTAAACATTATACCTATTGTACAATTATAACTAAACATTATACCTATTGTACAATTATAACTAAACATTATACCTATTGTACAATTATAACTAAACATTCCTGGCATGTTGGTGTATCTTTTAGATGAGCAAGTTGCAAGTCATCTGGATGCTTTGGTTTGTTGTTTATGGCGGCACTCAGCTATATTACAGCTATATGGCGGCGGTCTTCTAATTAATCAAGTCTAGATCAGACAATCCGGTGATCAACATCATGAGCAACGATCTACGCAATTGGCAGACGATGACATGCGTCAACGAAGCCTGACCATCTGATCCCGTTAGTCGCCTCCTACGACAAGCATGGGTTACTGAGGATCAATTATAACCTGAATCTTCACGGGCATGTATCAAGTCATCAGACTTGAAGACAAGCACTGGAAAACTCAGTCTTAAACTTATTGTTGCCTATGTTATTCATTTCACAGGACACAGGACATAAAAATAACACCAGGGACAAACAATTTGACAAAAAGTAATTTAGAATTACAGAAAACAGCTCTGACATCAATACTAATGAAAACACCAGTTGTGATATTGAAATATTGATATTAAAAGTGGTTTAAAACTAAACTCACTCACTCATGAGCTGATAAAAGTAGGTTAAAGAACACCAACTGGGAAGCTGTGTGCTGCAATACCCCAACTAAATTTATATGAAAAATCACATGTTCTTTAACTTATGGTAAAAACAATATTTAGTCATACTTTACCTTTGTAACTGGGCAAGAAGGTTGAGATCTGATTCCAAAGATTGAAGAGAGAGAAAAGCTTTACTTTTCACTTTTCTGAAACAAAACATTCACACGAAATGAAATAGAAATGTTTCCAATGTCAATCATTGTGTACTACAAAGTTAACAAGTGCTTACATCTTCCCCATGCACTCCAGAAACACAATCTACAAACACAGACCGATCTCCACCCTCAGGGTCGATGACATTAAAACTCATAAAATTACCTTTCAGCATCCCCTTCCAACAGCAGTTGCTCAAAAGTCAATTTCCAACATATAGCGTTTCTCCCTTTGTTTTGTCTAGCTTTGCAAAGAAGTCCTCTTAGCTCAATATCGACCAAGTGGTCCAGTTATTTGTGGCCGTCACAACATGCTTTGAGCGATATCAAGTTTCATAATTTTATTATCATCATAAATTGTAGTTTTATGCAGCATGTGCAAAAAACGTCCAGCACAGCAGCTTCACGTACAGCATTCATAACATAAATCAGGCTTTTGGACATAAACCAACTTTTACATGGGCCAACTCCAGATGAGTTTGTCATATCTGATAAATGCCCCTTTTCATCTTTTCTCCAGTCCTTGGTACTTCATTAAAATAATACATGTTGTAATCAGATATTACGATATTTCTAAACAATGACTTCATTATATTTCTATGTGGTTTTTTTTTTCACAAATAAAGTAAACAGTCCACAGCCTGAAATTTGAACATAAATAATGTGAATGGATACATATAATATCCCAAATTGTAATTAGACTGAGTATAAAATGCAAACCAAGATTTTTAAGAATAAGACATTAACCATATTTTCACTGGTTCACAAAAATGATCTGTTTCAATATGCCATCTATCAGTGATAGTCAAGGAAATGTCCATAGTGCTGGCTGAATTTAATTTGACAAAGAGAAGCAACCATATCTTAATTTCAAACTGTGTTGTTTACTTTAAGCTTCACTTCAAGAACTAGCTTTAAATTTCAAACACCCTTCAATTTTAGAACACTAATCAGCTGAACAGTAATTTTTGGAGATAATTGTGATATGCTGCAGTCTACACACAAAAAATTTGAGTCCTAACTTGTATTTTGGTATTATTTTCAGTTAGTTTGAGCATAGGCACTGATGGAGGCAAACAATTATCTACACAACAAATTAGAGTCAGGTGAATCTGAAGGACTTCTGTCAAAGTAAAAGATTTTTATAGTGATTACTAGGGCTATAATGATGCATCGAGCTCTCAATGGATTGGAATTGTTGAGTCTCCGATAGCAATATATCGATGGTAGATACGAAAAACTATCGATGCATCGATAGTATGTGTGACTATCAATAGTTTAGTTAGTGAGTTTAGTTTTACGCTGCACTCAGCAATATTCCAGCTATATGGCAGCTGCTGTAAATAATCGAGTCTGGACCAGACAATCCAGTGATCAACAGCATGAGCATTGATCTGCGCAACTGGGAAACTATGACATGTGTCAACCAAGACAGCAAGCCTGACCACCCGATCCCATTAGTCGCCTCTTACGACAAGCATGGGCTACTGAAGATCAATATTCTAACCTGGACCTTCACGGGTAACGATAGTTTAGTAACTGACATCCGATGATAAATGTGCAGCGCAAAATACATGATGTTTGGGTGCAGACTTGCAGCTTCAATGAGTTTATGTTTGAACTGTTACTTGATCTGGGTTTCAAGTTTCTTGTGAGTTATTAAAAGAGACCGAAACTACTTCAACTTGTTTTTATTTCATATAAACTATACATTCATTTGGGAAATGACTTCAAATGAGACAATTCAAAGAGGAAAAAACAACAGTATCTTGCAATAGTCCCAATCGTTGTTTCCCCCTCAATAGTCACCCCTAGTGATTACAGCTAAAATACACGATTAAGATAATTCTGTAACAGAGGTGTGAAAATTACAAGAATTTCTTAGTCGTAGTATATGAACTAGTACACGGATATCTTACTAGACAATACAACATTTTACTAGACACTGGGTTCAGAGTAGCAGATAAAGTCAGAAACTGACACCATAGCTTTCATATTTTTCAAATATTTCAAATACATATTATAGGATTTTCAAAAAGATTTCTAAATCATAGCTATGTGTATTCAAAAGCAGTGATAAAAAACACTTATAAAAGCCTTTCCTCTTCATCAGCAAACGTCAAGCTGATTACGACACAGTAATCAAACAGTATGACATTTACACCCAAACTAATTATCACAACACATAGACTCAGTTATTTGCACTGCACTCAGCTCTTTAAGCTATGATGATTAATGAACAAAAAGTCCTCAAAATAATCATTTCCGATTACACCCATCGGAGATGAGGTTAAGTTGTAACAAATACACCATTAAGTCTACGCTTCAAAAACATCCCTAGACAAAACAAAGTACCGTATTTCCTCTATCAAATGCCTGGTCTCTAATACATCCCCAGACAAAACAAAGTACCGTATTTCCTCTATCAAATGATAGGCCTCTAATTCATCGCCAGACAAAACAAAGTACCATATTTCCTCTACCAAATGCCTGGTCTCTAATACATCCCCAGACAAAACAAAGTACCATATTTCCTCTACCAAATGCCTGGTCTCTAATACATCCCCAGACAAAACAAAGTACCATATTTCCTCTACCAAATGCCTGGTCTCTAATACATCCCCAGACAAAACAAAGTACCGTATTTCCTCTATCAAATGATAGGCCTCTCATACATCCCCAGACAAAACAAAGTACCATATTTTCTACCAAATGCCTGGTCCAAATGCCTGGCCTCTAATACATGCCCTCAGACAGACAAAACAAAGTACCGTATTTCCTCTACCAAATGCCTGGTCTCTAATACATCCCCAGACAAAACAAAGTACCAGTATTTCCTCTACCAAATGCCTGGTCTCTAATACATCCCCAGACAAAACAAAGTACCAGATTCCTCTACCAAATGCCTGGTCTCTAATACATCCCCAGACAAAACAAAGTACCGTGATTTCCTCTACCAAATGCCTGGTCTCTAATACATCCCCAGACAAAACAAAGTACCGTATTTCCTCTACCAAATGCCTGGTCTCTAATACATCCCCAGACAAAACAAAGTACCATATTTCCTCTACCAAATGCCTGGTCTCTAATACATCCCCAGACAAAACAAAGTACCGTATTTCCTCTATCAAATGCCTGGTCTCTAATACATCCCCAGACAAAACAAAGTACCATATTTCCTCTATCAAATGCCTGGTCTCTAATACATCCCCAGACAAAACAAAGTACCAGATTTCTCCAAATGCCTGGTCAACATACATCCCCAGACACCATATTTCCTCTACCAAATGATCTACCTCTAATACATCCCCAGACAAAACAAAGTACCGTATTTCCTCTATCAAATGCCTGGTCTCTAATACATCCCCAGACAAAACAAAGTACCATATTTCCTCTACCAAATGCCTGGTCTCTAATACATCCCCAGACAAAACAAAGTACCGTATTTCCTCTATCAAATGCCTGGCCTCTCATACATCCCCAGACAAAACAAAGTACCGTATTTCCTCTATCAAATGCCTGGTCTCTAATACATCCCCAGACAAAACAAAGAACCGTATTTCCTCTATCAAATGCCTGGTCTCTAATACATCCCCAGACATAACATAGTAACATATTTCCTCTACCAAATGATAGGTCTCTGATACATCCCCAGACAAAACAAAGTACCGTATTTCCTCTACCAAATGATAGGCCTCTAATACACCCCTAGACAAAACATAGTACTGTATTTCCTCTATCAAATGCCAGGCCTCTAATACATCCCCAGACATAACATAGTACCGTAATTCCTCTACCAAATGATAGGCCTCTAATACATCCCCAGACAAAACAAAGTACCCTATTGCCTCTATCAAATGCAAGGCCTCTAATTGCTGGTATGTCAAACATTTTCTCAAACACAATAGATCCCAGCTCATAGAACATTCAGGGCAATACAGTGACAAATGACTTTCATAAATAAACTTTCCAGCAAATGTACTTTATGTTGGACATTAGAAATCTGGATTGGTGAGGTGAGTTCCAATTGTGTCAGCACTAAAAAGAAAACACTCTGGGCCTCAATCCACAAAATGCCTTTAATAAACACTGGTTGAATGCCTTACACAAATTACTATTTGTCAAGGCTACTAAAAGAGGACTATACATCAGCATTGCAAACTCCCGCCTGCCTGACTGTCCGGGACGGTCTGTTTTGCGACCGGACGGTCAGTTTCTGGCTGTTAAATAAGTGTAAATTTGTAATTAATATAATGACTAAAGCCTTGACTGAAAAACATTTGAAAACGTGTGTTATTGTGACAATAATCTGACATTAAACAGTTCCCTCCTCTTATTTACGTAACCTTTTTATTTTTCTTAATCCAGAAAATGCTGGACTGGCAACTTTAACCAGCCGGTCTGATAACTTTTGAGAGTTACCAGACCAGTAGTCCGGCTGAAATTTGGGGAGTTTACAACAGTGAACACTGCTATACATGCCAGGGCTTCTAACAGAGGAAGTACAGTAATGTTACATCAGTGTGTACCATGCCAAAATGAGGTGTTTTCACACCAGTTTGAGTACAAATAGACCATAGCTGCAGTATCTCATGCATGTGAATGCACTTCAAAGATAATTTACAAGTAATTATATCTGTCTTAGTCATGGGTATACGCCTGAGTTGCACAAATAAGAAGCAACATTAATTACTGTTTAATGTTTTGTAGACTCAACAGATGTATTGCTACATATGCTAATGAATTCTATGCACTTAAGTACATTCAAGTCAATACCCAAACTCTGTATCTATCATTCCTCCATTATGTTGTCTACTGTGACATATAGTTTAAAAAAGTTAAGCATTTCTGATAAAGCCTGATTGTTGTGAAATACTACACCCAGTAATATTCCAGCTGTATGGTGGTGGTTTGTAAATGATCTCATCTAGACCAGACAATCCAGTGATTGACGTGACTGACTGACTGAGTTTGGTTTTACGCCACTTTTAGCAATATTCCAGCAACATCACGGCAGGGGACACCAGAAATGGGCTTCACACATTGTACCCATGTGGGGATTCGAACCCGGGTCTATGGCGTGACGAGCCAACGCTTTAACCACTAGGCTACCCCAACGCCCCTTGATTGACATGAGGATTGATCGTATCAGTTATGATACGAAGACTTGCATCAACCAAGTCAGCAAGCCTGACCACCCGATCCCGCAAGTCAACTGTTCCAACAAGCATGGGAAGCTGAAGATCAAATCCAATCACTATCTTCACAGGTCAAAAATGCTATATTGATTCTCAGCTGCCAAACTGAAGACACCTTCACTACAAACCTCTATCTCATGTAAATCAGATATTTTACTCTCATCCGACACCTTGCTGTATATTGCTCATATCACAGTCTCTGTATACGTTAATATTCCTCCATGATGGAATGTACCACGAAGTACATCAAGCCAGTGAGTTATTTCTGATAAGGCCACACTTGTTTTATTACTTGGTTTACGGATTTTTACAGCAATATTCCTGTCGATAGGTGGTAAAAAAGTTATTTTAAAATGCTTTTTCAGATTTGTTTCCCTAAGTGGTTTTCACCACAAGAAGGCTGTTTTAAAAATATAGAATATGTCATCAGCCATTCAGGTATTCTCATTTCCTACTACAATAGGGTTTTAAAAAACCCAGCATTTTCACTCGGTAACAATAATTCGGCGATTTTATTTGTTTCAAATTCAATATTTTGTTTTGCAACAATGCTAAATTCGTGACAGAAAGTAGATTTCAATAAAGTTGATTTTTTAATTATTTATTTGGATTTTATCTATCGGCGGTTTTTAAAAAATGGAAAAAGAGAAATTTAATTTGTTTTCCACTTTAGCAAAAATTACAGTCGGCGGATCCGTAAGCCAAGTAATAAAAAAAAGTGTGGCCTAAAGTCTGTTTGCTTTCTGATGCCACACTCCTCAATATTCCAGCTGTATAATGGTGGTGTAAATCGCATCTGGATCTAACAATCCAGTGATTGATAAAACATCAGGTACATGATGGTACATAATCAACAAAGATTGAGTCCTTCCACTTGATCCATAAACACAGCTCTTACAACTGACATCAGTTGCCAGTACCCTATTCTCCAATAACTCTTGAGGTTTTTGTTTCACACCCTTCCCTTTTTAGTTCACTTCACGTTTTCGGGGTTGTTTTTCTTACTTTTTTCGTGTCTTGATTTAAAATTTTCCTGGAATATTTCTAAAGTTTAACTTGCATGGAGTTCTCCATCATTCCTGAGTAGATGGAAGATTTGTTTTGACGAAGATCAAGAAGTTAGCATTCAAATCATGCTGATGTCCGGGGGGTATAATTTGCATTTCGGATCATGATGCCAAACAGGGAGAGAATCAAAAGGAAAAGAGAAGATGCAATGGGGGCTGAGTGAGTGAGTGAGTTAAAATTTATCGTCACATCGGCAATATTTCAGCCATATCGTGACGAGAACAATTAATTGGTACACATAGTAAGTGATAGTAAATTATAAATGCCTGCCTACGAAGGACAGTAAAATAACTAGATTATCACAGAGAATAATTTAAAACTAGTAACTAAATCTAAAACAGTTTAATTATAGTTGACAATACAATATAAAACCGGGCTATAGATTGCCAACAACTGAAGGTAGATCACCATACTAGGGACCATGGGGACTTACAGTACTTTTGCTTCCTGCATGGACCCTAGCTGGATTTACACCGTCCCTCAGCTATTAGCAATTTTGGATATTCAAGCCACAAATTAAAAGAACATATATTCTACGATTAAAAATAACAGTAGATTTAAATTTACATTGAATGCTTTGGGACTTACGAACCCTCTCAGGAGGACACTAATTTTACGGTACTTTAACCCCCTTTGAGGGTACAGCCACGCAATGGAGGCTGAAGTATTAAAATGTCACCCACTTCTTTAATAATGGATCTAACACAAAATTTCTAAAGCCCCGTTTGATTTTATCAATTTTGTTATTTCGACAATAATCGTCACAACATGCCCTGTATAGACTACAAGGTGCCCTTTTTATGAATTCAGCCATTGCTTTCTAAATCCAAGGAGTACACTAGGTTACAATACATCCATTTTGATATGGGAATGTGTATTATTATTTTAACTCCACAAACTACTCTTCAGTATGTCGGTCACACTAACAAAACAGCAAAGGGAAACATACTTACTTATCACCAACAATTTGATATATTTTCAGTAAGCCTTCCAAATGGGATGCAAACTCCACAAAATCTCTCCGGCTGCAAAGAAAAAATATTTTGGGTAAAAAATATTACTAGTGAAATATTAATGAATGTGCAAAGCAGATTTTGTCTGTAAGAGACAATTGAACTGTTAAGTGGTGGGTTTTTCAGATTTCACAAAAAGAAGCAATATCTTCTTTCCTTAACATCCAAACACTTACCTTAATACTTCCACTAGTTCTTGACAACTCTGAAATGGAAAGAACAATGACATCAATTATTGTTGAAATAACACAAGTAGTTAAAATCTAAGAAAAGTCACCAGTTTGGACGGTTCTTTCCTATCATATGATAGTTTCAAGAGAGCAAATCAAATGCCAATGTTCCCCTGGTGTCCAAATGACCAAGGGAGGCTACTCTGATCACTTCACATAAAGCCAATTGCATCACTCTTTGTCTTGAAATCAGTCACTTGCCATTTCGTAACAAATTTGCTTGCCTATATGAAGTGATCAATGCATATGAATGGGTACAATCACACATTGTACCCTTGTGGGGAATCAAACCTGGCCCTTCAGCGTGATGAGCAAACGCTTTAACCACTAGGCTACCCCACCGCCCCGAATGAGTGAGTGAGTGAGTGAGGATGCCAATTTAGCAATATTTCAACATCACAGTTGAGGACACCAGAAATGCGCTTCACATCTAGTACTCATGAGGGGAGCTATACCCACATACAGATTCAGCATAATTCAAGATCTCTGATCTCCTTAAGTCTGCCCAGTTTGACTACCAAATCTACAAATGTCACACCTACAGAAGAAAAGTGTTAGCCAAAGGAAACACAAAATATTTTCAGAAAAGTAAAACGTACACACTTAAAAACGTTTAAACATGAGCAGCATCAAATTGATATTTCAACTCCATTGACTCTCAATGAGCATAATTCCTGTTTTAAAAAACAAAACTAAACCTGAAAGCCTGCATCAGGTCAGGTTAACTTCTCGTGCATAAACTGTCTGGGAATTAACTTGGCTGTGTGCCGCCAGCAAGTGCATAGCAACACCTTGACATCTTCTCACCACATGTCTAAATATTGATAATTGTCTTTCCAATAAATAACCTAGCTATATACTACATAGAGATCGGCAATGAATTTAGAGTATGTAGTTATGTGTTCTATAAAACACAATAAAATCCAAAACTTTATCAACTATAGACTGCATCTTCAAGTGCCAATGTTCAGATGTGGCTTCATCAAAGAAGCTGGAACTATCATGGATGCTTTCTTATTCTTTCCAATGACATTTCTGCAGTTACTTGTACAATTAATTATCAAACAATCTCATAATCTTCCTGATCAAAGATTCATCACAACGTAAGACAGTTTACCCTCGACTTGTGACATACTGAATCAAGTTATTAATCCAAAATTTTCAGGCTTACTGATAGTATCATAGTTATACATTGAGTGCTATTTACAATGTACCAAAAACATCTGCAAAACATTTACATTTACTTCATGTCACTCGATCATAACAATGATGTGGATAATTACACAGGCTGGCTTTGGAACATTTAGCTTTTACTAGTCCTTATATATTTACTAGCAACAGACTCATAGCAAATGAAAGGTGACAATTCCGCTTTCAAAGCACATTTACCAGTACCTTATACTCTCTGACAACAAGCTGATTCCACTTAGCCAAACAGTGGATTTTAGTGTTATTAGAAACAGCTGAGCTTACAAGACCAAACAGAATTTTACTAGACACAGGCTTCAGACAATGTCACAGAGTGCCGTATGAATTGTTTGTTTGTTGTTTAGCACAGCATGCGGCAGTATGTAAATAATCGACCAGGCAATCCAGTGATCAACATCGTGAACATGGATCTAAGCAACTGGGACACAATGAGTGCAGTGAAAACTTACCAACTTTATTCTATATAACTGAAACAACTGCAGACCTCTTTGACAAAGAATCACTATTTAGTCATAAATTTTTAAAACATTTTAGTATCTCCAAAAGTGCCGTGTCTGCATGTTCAGACGAAGTATGACACCTGCTTCAAAACCAGTCAGCTTCAAGGTGGTTAATTCCTTAGATTTTGCAAGATCTTAAGACAGTGAGAAGAGTCACCAGCGAAATGTCAAAGCTATTTCCATCCTAAACAACAATTACCCACATGGAATTTTGATAAGACTCCAAACCTAACCCAACCATGGCTGACAAAATTGATTCCTGCTGCCGGCTTCAAGACAATTTCCATTCCAAATCCAGTTACCAAACTGGAATAAAGTTATTCCCAGAGAGTGTAAGATTTACAATAAACAAAGGACAAGGTTTTACGAAGCCAAAGTCAAAATAATCAATATTCCAAACCTCACTTTCATATATACCACCCCCTTTGACAGGAATTTCTATCTGAATTTAATCAGAATTGAGACAGAAACATTTCCGTGCCTCGAACCTCATCAGATACATGGTTCAGGAGGCGCCTTGCTGAAATGGTAAAAAATACTTGGATATTGATTGTATCGACCACAACCATGCTTGTACCTCCAGGTTTATCAATCCGCTACACTTTTCTTCTTCCTTGGCAGGAATTTTGCCTCTGGAAATTCATAAGGCTTTTGAAAAAGGTCTGATCTTTGGCAGCTATGATAACTGAGCTTGGTTAAATACCTTGGTTTCAGAAAGATGAATGATCTGGCAGAACTAATTATCTATTTTTGATAATCTGTCCAACTTCTCACTTTCGTTTGAAGGGTAGAAAGACGGCAATTTTCTCAAGACAGAATTGATTGGAAATGGCCAAAAGTAATTTGAAAACCAAGATAACAAAAATGCCAAACTAAATATCGGTCTAATTCTCACCCGAATATTCTTATTTAATGATTTCAGTGAGTGTCAAACTATGCAGCCGAATCATCACTGAAAATGACTACCACACGGACTAAACGGAATAAACCCTGTTAATCCGATCAGCATCTCATATGTGTCACCAATGCCAAATTAACACCGTCAAAACCAAATCATTTGTCAAAAATTTCATCTTCATATATATAAGCAGAACAAAATACAATAAATTCACTACGAGTTGAATGTGTTTGAGCTTTGGCTTGTAAGGGCAACTATTCTCTAAAGGATTCTGTAAAAACTTAGAAAAGGCGAAAAACACTGTGAAAGCATTTCCCAGACAGCACATGCTTTCTGTACCTTTTCGTAATTTGTAATCAAGTTATTACTTTAATTCAACAATGAGTTGACATTTATCAGTATGCTCTCCTTCCATGGTGACTTCAAATGACGATCTATAAATCCACATTGTGTGAATCCTTCTAAGCCAAACCTTTGCCTCAAGGCCATATTCCATGACGTTCTTGAGATTTGGAAAATATCAACTTCTTTCTTGTCATCAGACACTATAAATCAGATACTCCTTGTGACGGATGACCGTAGCTGTCATCTGTGATCTCAGTGACAAAACCACACACTAATCGCCCATGTTGCAGGACCCCGAGGCGCAGAGGTCATGTTCCTCTTCTTTAGGGATACAGGTTACAAGAAAACTTCATTCAGCTACAATTATCTTGTTGTCATGGTAACCTGACCCGATTTAAAAATATGCAAAAGAGTTTTATGTAAGCTGAAATTGCTTCTGAACACTAATTGATGATGAAACAAGAAGTTTAATTTGATTGTAAAGTTCAGTAAGACTTTTCATTGGACCATGGAAGCTTGAGGAATATGAACCAGTTTTCACCACACAATTGACTTTTGACCAAAATACCACATGAGATCAGCTTACTTCCAAATGGTTATTCAGCCTTTGTAAAGAAAGCATCTGTGTATAGACAATAGTACCATAGGGACAGAAGCTCACTCTATTTTGATGAATATGCAAATGTCTGACGTTGATTGAACAAACAAGGACAAAAAAATACACAGAATTAAAATTGACTGCAGAGTGAGTGAGTTTGTCATTTGTTTCCTGCAACTCCCTTGTTATCAATGCTATTCCAGCCATATTGTGTCAGTTTGTAAGTAATGCTCTACACAAACCAGTGGAAGAGGCACATGAAACACTATCAAAGTTAGACAACATTGTGAGTGAGTGAGTTTAGTTATACGCCACACTCAGCAATATTCCAGCTATATGGCGGCATTCTGTAAATAATCAAGTCTGGACCAGACAATCCAGTGATCAACATCATGAGCATTGATCTGCGCAATTGGGATACGATGACATGTGTCAACCAAGTCAGCAAGCCTGACCACCCGATCCCATGGGTTACTGAAGATCAATATTCTAACCCGGATCTTCACGGGTGTTCATTAGTAAGAACCCTCCATCCAGTCAGTGAGCCTGACCACCTGATCCCGTTAGTCGCCTCTTATGACAAGCATGGATTACTGAAGACAAATTCTAACCTGGATCTTCACGGGTCTTGACAACATAGACTGAAACAAGTCCAATCATCCAATCCACCTCAGTCATAACTTCTTTGAGTGGCATTTTAGAAGTTAGGAAGCACAATATAGAACAAACTTTATGGATAACAACTTCTTTTTATTCGTGAGTGCGACGTTTCGATACAGATTCTTGTACCGTTGTTGCACTCACGAATAAAAAGAAGTTGTTATCCATAAAGTTTGTTCTATATTGCACCTCAGTCATGTCTCACAACATGCCACAGAAGACCTTTTCTGAATCTGCATCTTACAGAGTCATGTTACAACAGGAACTTACATTTGCTTCTCCTCCATGGGCGACTTTGACATCTTTGACCCCTCCGCCCTTGTCAAAGATGATCTGGACATGGAACATATCTGAGGAGATGATGAGGTGCTGCTCTGGACCAGGTTGGATGCTGGAACTCAAGCTGAGCTGTCTGGCTACTGTCTCCAGCCTCTCGATCAGAGACTGCTGGCTGATAACTGAAACAACACACACTGAAGGTCAAACAGGGATGGACAGGGATGCCCAGAGGTACCAGCATCAGGGATATATAACCGTTAACATTCAAGGACACCACCTAAGGTAAAATATCCTGGTAGCCATCAGGATCTAGCATCTGGGAAATAAAGCATGAAAGTGAAACTACCCTTGTTATAACCATTAAGTTAACATTTTAAGAATTAGGACAACCACTGTCTTAAATACCATATAATGAATATATTATTAAAAAAAGGTGTACAGTGTAGAAAGACGTGTATATTTGATTTTGTTTGAGGATTGGGTCAAGATTGGGAAGGAAACATCCTTCATGGTCCTAAGCTCCAAGTTTACAAAATTTATGGACCATTTTTGACAAGCATATGCCATAAATTAGACTGTACTCAGTACTGAAGAAAGAACTTCAATGACCCTACCCCTCCTCCTAATATTAAAAAGGGCATACTGTACATAATCAGTTATGCACATCAAACCAAGGGAAAAATATCCTTTTATATTTTTTTTTAAATTGATATATCTTTAGCATTGGAATTTATTAAATACTCCCCAACAAAAGCAACCATATTAATCATAACTATTATATTATTGATTTGTTCACAGATGTCTCTCTTCATTAACCCCACAGGACAAAACAGCACGGGTACCTACCTACAATAAACATCGATATTGATTGCCAGTTTCTAGATCCTCAATGAGGCTGGTAATTGTCAGCGTAATGTAAATCCAATATGACACATTTGCGACCCACTGACCTACTGCAGTAATATAGAGCCGAAGCACAGACTTCTATCTCAGACATTAAGATCTGAACCAACAATATTCCAAATTTAGCATCAAAGTCAAGCGGTCCTTGTTATAACCATAAATATTTAAATTCTCAAGAGTTTAATGGTTCATAGACTAACTATAAGAAGATGTTTTCATTTGTGCTATTGTAATATCACAGACAGATATTGATCAACACAAGTGTCGATGGGTTGTTTTGTATAGTAGACTTTAATGGGCAATTATCTCCCTTGCCCTGGGAAGATGTGCACTACCCAAAATACCAGCAGTTGTAAGAGGGTTGTAAGATGTGTAATTAAATCGGGATGTCACTTTACAGATCATTATTCATAGACGACAGATATAATTACAGATAGTTCACAAAGGTACATAACACTCAAGATCTACAAAGTAGAGGAACACTTTTATGGACAAACAACTTCTCTACTGCAATAGATGCGTCGTTTTGGTGTAGATCCTAGACTAACCCTTAGTCTCTGAATATATCATTTTGATTGTAACAAATAACCCATTTAAATTGAAAAGGAGCCCAAGGAGACCAGAGATTTAGACTTGCTTCATTTAGGGCTTTAGCACTGCAGGGAAGGCTGGGGTGTAGGGAAAATAACATGGTTCAGGGACTGTGAGACTCTGTAGATCCTAATGATATCAATGGGTTGGGATCTATTCACTCGAAGATGTTAACCTACTTGCACCAGGTGCACATCTATTGCAGTTGCATAGATATGTAATGTAAGAAATATCCATGAAAAGATGTCAGAGTTTACCACTTGCACCATCAAACCAGGTTTCACTTTGTAAATTGGGTTGCACCAGTTCAAGTAACAAAGAAACTTACAAACCTGCTTCTAAAGAGTTACAATGGAAGAATATGTCCAAGATATTTTTTATCATCAGGTGAACTGACTACAGGATCTGTAATGGTCCCGAAATGTTGTGAGGGAAATCAAAAGAAGCTTAAATCCATAAAAAATATCTTTGACATCTATATACAACTTCTAAATGCCGCTAAAAGACATCATACAAGTTCAGAATACTTCAATCATTGAAACATATGAATGTGTTTGACACAAAATACTGGTCCACTTGCCAAGTGTAGGATATTTCAAGGACAGTCAAATTAGATGCTTGTCATGGTCCAACGTCACTTGAGGGATAAACTGACTGACTGACTGAGTTTATATGACTTTTAAATATTCCAGCAATATCATCGTAGGGGAAACCAGAAATGGACCTAACAACCCTGCAGACCAGTGGTCGAACCCAGGTCTCGAGCCAACGCTTTAACCATTTTGATTGTGCAATGAGGGACATCAGGTATCATTGAATGACTCCCTAAAAAGAAGGACTATTGCCCAAACCAGGGACCTAACAACCCTGAAGATCAGTGGTTACCGTCTCAGCCGGTTTCTCATTTTGATTGGGCAATGACATCATACCATTCGAAACCACTGTTGGTCAGGACAACTGCACCTAGTGGAGGAGATCCAACAGGACCAGATGCTGCTGCTTTATGCTGGACCCATATTCTCGAAATGTTCCTAGCTCTAGGTTATCCTAACTTTGATCCTAGGGTCTAGGATTAGCTGGGACACTTTCGAGAATAGGCACCCTGGTCCTTTTGACCACTGACAAAGTTTGGTCAGTGTCAAACACAGTATAATTAAAATAATCACAAGTTCGGTGAATATTTTCAAGGATAATGCCATAATGATGTCAGCATGCTATTGTTGACACAGATGCTTCTGAGCAAAAATACTCCAGCTATTTTGAAGATGCATCGTCAAACAGGCAGTACTGCAGGCCATCATACAAAATCATACAGTAAGTGAGTGAGTGAGTGAGTTTGGGTTTAAGCCGATTTTAGCAATATTCCAGCAATATCACGGCGGAGGACACCAGAAATGGGCTTCACACATTGTACCCATGTGGGGAATCGAACCCAGGTCTTCGGCGGGACGAGCAAACGCTTTAACCACTGATCTACCCCACCGCCCATCAAAATCATACAGTAACTACATACCAGTCATAATATGGTTTTGATGATGCTGCTTCCAGAACCAACATGGTTGGTTGGTTGGTTTTGAACGCCACACTCAGCAATATTCCAGCTATATGGCGGCAGTCTAGATAATCGAGTCTGGACCAGACAATCCTATGATCAACATCATGAGCATCGATCTACGCAATTGAGATATGATGACATGTGTCCACCAAGTCAGTGAGCCTGACCACCGATCCAGTTAGTCGCCTCTTTGACAAGCATGGGTTGCTGAAGACAATTCTAATCCGGATCTTCGCGATTCTCATGATTTCTCTGATTTTTTACGCTTCTTGTTGACAAGATTCTGGCAGTCACAACATAAAAATGTATCACAGCCTGAGTAACTGAGGTAAATTGTCATCCCAAACCATGCAAATGTATTACAGTATTACACATCTTTGAAACGATCAGTTATTAAACTTAAAAATCACAAGTGAAAACATACAACTTAACTGTGTGTTTCTAAGCACCTTGCCTACCTTTGATAGCTCTTTGCAGTGAGTCAAGACATCGTTGCAGGTGACCTTTGTCCAGAGCGTCTGGTTGGTGTCGTTTGTCCTGCAACATAGAAGTCATGTATAAGTCTCACAATTGACGTACCCACCAAACAATGACACAGTTAGAAGAAATGTAGTCTTTTCAAGCATGTCAAAAAAGCACTCAAGGATGTTCAAGTTTGCCCTTTTAGATTTAAATGAGCAAGAGTTATACTTTAAGTGAAAAAACTAAATGTTAAACTAAAAACCAACTCCTCTTCATTTAGCCTGGTCTTGTGTTTACCATGCATTTGGCACGTTAAGTTATATAGGATACAGTTATCACCAGCTTCATATCCTAAATATCTGAACAGTATTTCTATTTTACAAAAATATAATTTCTAAGAGGACCCTCAAGCATGTTAACACATGCAACATATTAAACTGGGCCATTACAATTTAAACTTGTCCCATTAGCACTTCAATGCCAGGATTTTAAGCCATCATCAGCAATGTTTATAATTAAGGGGAGTTGATGGGCTCTTTGAGGTTTGCAAGCACATCCAAACTGTCAGGTTTTCATTCTTCACACCTAGCAACTGTTTGGTTCGGTGAAGATACACCTCGTTATCACAATAATCAGGTTCATTTGTTTAAAAGTGCACTCAGCAATAATCAAGCTATGTGGCAACATATTGAAATAATTGAATCTGGATAAGACAATCTAGTGATTGATATCATGAGCTTCGATCGATTAGGGCACAATGACATACATCAACCAAGTCAACAAGCCTGACTATAGCATCCAGTTAGTTGCCTCTTACAACAAACACAGGCTACTGAAGGCTACTACAGATTAACACAGAACTACTAAAGACCTGCATGGATTATATATGAAATATTTAATTGAAGGTCTGTATGGCCATGACAATGCAGCAAATTTGCATATAATTGTAACACGTCCAGTATTTCTCATAGACACCTGTTTTCACTATGCATATATTTAACCCCCTGTACATGATATACAGGACTATTACCATATATATCCATTCACAAGTGCCGCTGACATGAATTTATTACAAGGAATAAGTTTACACTACTTTGTGGGCTGATATATCATGCCCTTGTCACACACTCCAGACAGGGAGCAGGGATGATAGTCGATGAGTTTACAATCATGACAGCATTGCAATATTTGAAAATATTATTTCAATATACATTACACCTGTGATATAAACTTAACTTATGTCAGAAGTATGAGACAGTCTAGTGAGTAACTTCATCGTGAACATGGTGAAATGTACATTTCTCTGACTAGACAAGATTGACAGCAATGACCTTGACTCAGTAAGCTTGTTCAGAGTTGAGGCTGGTTACGCACATGAAACAATACCCATGACAGTTTATGAGGAAATAATGGGAACACACACAAAAAAGAATTTACTCAAGAAGAACACCACAGCATGGCCAAGGTTCAAAATGTAGCCACCACTAAAATTCTGGAAAATTTAGTGACATTCTGCACATTTACAAGTTAGTAGATAGCATCACTTTAACAGACAACTTTTACAGATAAGTCAGAAATAAGTTCATTTCTCATCCTGTTGACGGTGAAGTTGGTTTGAGATAATAATTCATCATTCAAACATTCCATCTGATGATTACAGTTAGATTTTGAAAGAGTTGGAAATGATACTATGATGAAATCCTTAACTTTGAAGAAAAATGAGATTTGGAGATTAGATAAAGCCTCTGAAAAAAGCAAATAAACCCTTCTAGTGTTACAGCACATTTTCAACAGAGCAGCTCCGTCAGCTCACTGCTATGCACTCCAGAGATGCACCATAAACTAATATGGTACAGAATTAAAATGAAATTAGCCAGGTGTTTAAGAACCAAGTTATTCACTCGTCGACCATAAACAAATGTACAGCTCATGCCCAAGTTCACACTGTAATAATACCTCTAACACAAGCCAAGTGTGACAATACCGTGAGCTGTTTGGAGCTTTCACTGCATTTCATATGCAGAGCAAGTTGCCAAAGCATGCAGTGCGTGCAAACAAACTCCATCCACAGCTAAAGTGCAACAGCTCGAGCGTCATGAAGCACCAGCTCCACCTTGTACTCTCCTCAACACTTGGGGACAACAATCAGAGGTAGTAAGTCCTCAGTGGTGTCCAGCAAACCGTGAACAAGAGATGCTTATCCTGATGTTGGGAGGGCTGCAAGCCATTAATGACAGATGACACAACTCAAATCTCTTCAGCTGACACCCCTCTAATGATATTGATTCGGAAACAGCAAGCAGATGTTTATATTAAGTGTGATGCTCCATAATGACCTGTATTTAGGCCTGCCTGATAAAGATCTAGGTCCATGTGTTTGTTGTTCCATATTCAAGTGGCCAGTGTTTCGAACACAATACAAAAGTTTCCCGATAACATTTCATATAAAATACCAAAGTTTCCTGATAACGTTTCAAATACAATGCCCAAGTTTCATGTCAGGGTTTCAAGCCTGTGGAGAGGCAACCCTATCTCTGAATAAGATATCTGCACAAACAAGTTTTCTTCAGTACAAGTCACAGTAGAAACACCAGTGTAACTACATCCTGTTATGAACTAGGAAGAAGGATATGCTTGCTCAGTCAGACTTTGTGACGTAAGTTAAACATTGCCAATTTAACTGAGCAAGTATGCTTTTAAGGAGCTCTAAGCAATATTCAAGCTAAAAGGAGGAGTCGTGTTAAGAACTGTCAAGACCAGACAAAGCAGTGACCATTATCGCATCAATGATCCATGCCATCGAAACACCAGGGTCCACTGTCAACAAGTCATTTAGCCAAACCACCTGTTCACTTGGCTATCAATTATGTACCAAACATAGGTAGCAGGGGACCTATATTTTACCCAGAATCTCCTCAGAGTAGACGATTGATTGATTGAGGCTTATTGCTGTTCTATTTAATCAATGCATGTCAACATGGGAATAGAGCCTGATGTATATCTCAGATGTTTACCACTATGGGGAAACCACAAGCAGGGTGAGTGAGTTACTGACAGACAAGATCATTATCAGAGATCTGAACCTGCAGTCAAAAAATTTCCGCATTTCCAAGCCATAGAACTCAGAAATAAGAAATCCAAAGAAGAAACTTACAATTATTCAAATTAAATTTAAATTTATTAAAATTATTAAAATTAAATTATGACATGTTTATTGATAAACAGCTACAAAGAAATCAACAGAATTAGTTTCCACCTGTCAAAACTGTCACCATTTCAAAATCCTCTTATTAACACCAACTGGTATCCGATAAAAATGATGGGGAAAACATGCTTGTCATTCCTGATGATTACTTAAATGTTTACAGCTGAAGAATTCGCTCCTTGTTACATTTGGAAATGTCACTCAAGCACAAAAACAGCATGTTCTCAAATAAGAAACCTTCCCCTTCCAGCAATCTGCAAATGGTACATGGTTAGAAAGGCACTTGAAATCAGTCGCGAGGAAACTACTGCTCAAAATGTCATGATCAACTTTTCAGGCACTAAATCAGAATTACCTCCCTTAGATTAATTTGCTTTTTTTCAAGGGCAGCTGAGGGTGCAAACTAGAGCTGCGAAAGTATGGACAAATTAATTTCCCTTGGTATCGCTTGGACTACCCTGAGTTGAGCTCAGCATCTGCAACACTGGAAGAAGACAGTCATCTCACCCTAGCTTGGACTAATTTGGATTGGAAGCCATGCGAAGGAAATTGATTTCTTTCTTTCTCATTTGGAGAAGCATGGAAATTAGCTTACAAGTTCCCTAGTGACTGTCCTTCAGAGTCAACGGGCTGACCATGCTGTTCTAACAACAGGACATGTCATGGGAAGGTGAGGTGAGGTGAAGTGAAATTGGGTTTCATGTCGTGCTTGAGAATATTTCGTTCATATGACGACGTGCATGCATGTGTATGTGTATGTGCGGCTGTTTGTACTAGCCCAGACTGAAGCTGGTTTTTTTATAGTGCTAGCCCACTGAGATACCATGCCGCAGTGAAGCAGGAATACCCCACTCAGACACATTATACTGACTCTGAGCCGACCAGTCCTTGTTGTACCCATTAATGCCGAGCGCCAGGCAGGGACCAACAAGTACCATATTTTAACGTCTTATGGTATGACGCGGTCGGGGATCGAACCCGCGACCTTCCGCTCTCGGCAGACGCTCTAACCACTACACCACGGAGGCGGTCTGTCATCGGAAGGACTGGGTGGAGGGTGGTGTTGATGAATTCTCACTGTGGTGGGACAGAAGTTCATGAACATGCAGGGGGCTGCTCACATTAGTCAGGACTGGTGTGGTGGTAGCCTACTGACATACCAAGCAGCGGTTGTAACCTGAATATCAGATCCTCTCAGACCTTGCTTTATCTCTAAATTCCCAGCATAAGGAGTAAACTCACTACTCATTCTCAGCATATGACTACCATCTCTTTATAGTGTTTGGTATGACGAGGACATGTTGAGAACCAACCCTCCACTCATCGAGAAACACTATCAACTGCACCAAAGAGCAGAAAAGTCCAGGACAAAAAGGGTTTGGTGAGTTTGATCAGAATTTTGGCATTTTGGAATGTTGTGTGACTTGGGGTCAACTTTTACCTAATTTATATACAATTAGTGCAAGAGGACTAGAAACTGAAACAACGCCTGAAGGAGAGAGAAGACACAGTTTTAAGGTTTCTCCTGCAGTGTTCAATCAACCAGTTGGCACATTGTTTTTGTAATAAATGACACATCATCACTGTCAACCTGTTGCCTTTGGGCTCAAGAGTATATATAAGTGCTCAAGTGTACAAGTGATAACCCCAGTCTTTGCATCTACACTATATGGATCTTAACCTACAGGTGTAACATCACGGCAACATGTTACAGAAGGCAGGACCTGTCACAATATACTAGTATTCTGCAATGTATGCTAAACTTTACAATAAAAATCCCATAAAATCCTCATCAAAGACTTTGTCAAAGACCTCATTGAGGTTATGTTGAATAATGTTAAGTCAAGAAACTCATAAATAAATAATTCCA